TTTTTGCGGTACGCGGGCCTCTCCCGCTGCGGAGCACAGGCTCTGGATGCACAGGCTCAGCGGCCACGGCTCACGGGCCCAGCCGCTCCGCGGCATGTGGGATCTTCCCGGACCGGGGCACGAACCTGTGTCCCTGCATCGGCAGGCGGACTCTCAACCACTGCGCCACCAGGGAAGGCCTTTTTTTTTTTTTTTTAAAGATTTTTTTGTTGTGGACAGTTTTTAAAGTCTTTATTGAATTTGTTACAGTGTTGCTTCTGTTTTGTTTTGGTTTTTTGGCCTTGAGGCATGTGGGATCTTAGCTCCCCAACCAGGGATCGAACCCACACCCCCTGCATTGGAAGGCGAAGTCTTAACCACTGGACCGCGGGAAGTCCCAGCCACGCTCTCTGAATTGCTGTCGCTTTATAATAGTCTTGACGTCCATTGAGAAAGTCTTCCTGTCTTGTCTCCTTCTTCCAGAATGTCTAGGCTTCTCTCGCCCTGGTATTTCAGTGTCAGTTTGTGTCAGGTGCCACAAACACACCTGTTGAGGTTTTGGTTATCGTTGCCTTGAGCAGTTTGAGGAAAATTAGCACGTTTGCATTACGGTGCCTTCTAGCAAATGGACATAATAGGTTCCTCCATTCATTCAAATCTTTTTCAACCTCAGTACTGTTTTATAAGTTTCTGGGGGGAGACTTTGCATATTTTTTGTAACACATTTTCTTAGATATTTGGCATGTTTATTTAAATCTTATTATAAATAGTATCATTAAAATTTTTATTTGCTGTTTATTGATGGCACATAGATATTAAATGCTATTTGCGTATTGCTGTTATATCTGATAGCCTTGCTAATTTCAGTTATAGGATTCATGATATGTGCAGTCACGTCTTCTGCAAATAATGACAGTTTTGTTTCTTATTGTTTTACCTTCTCTGCCGCTTTCACCCCAGTCGCATTGGCTGAGACTTTCAGTAAAAGGCAGCTGTCCTTGACTTACTCCTGCTCTCTGAGGGAAAGCTTTCAATATCTGACCATTAGTTATGATACCGCCTGTGGAATTTTTAAAGATGACTTTTAACAATCACATTAAGGAAGTTTCCTTTCATCCCAAATTTAAGAAGGATTTTTAAAATCCTGAATGGTAAATTATTTTAGTTTTTTTCACCTTTATTCTGTTAATGTGACAAATTATGTTGATTTTCTGTTAAACCTCTTCGCATGGTTGCAGAGAGGTCATGATGCGTTTTTCTTTTTATAAGTATCTGGATTCAGTTTGGAAATCTTTACATGTTACAGTTACAGCTATTAACATCTTGAGTTGACCTTTCTATTTAGGCAAAGGCAGCGGTGTTTTGAGTTGACTATTTTTCTCATTTATTTCTCAGGCCCCACAGTTCACTTATCTCACAACGTTGTGCCCGAGTTTAGACTATTTACAGCAAAGGGCGTGTGGTTGCCGCGTGGTTGCCCAGGGGTGGGGAGGGTGAAGGACGGCTCTGTCTTCCTGCGTTCAGCACCGCACGCGCAGGGTGAGTGGGAGGGCTGCTTCCGGTTTGGGGTGGACTCAGGCGTTTCTGTCTTCCTCCCCCTCTCCCCCTGCCCTTCACTGTCCCGCGTATCATGTGCCGTGTTCCTCAGGGAAGCACCCACAGGGCTGGGCACCTTCAGGAGGGGTCCAGACGCTCCCCTCCAGCCACCCGTGGCTCTGCCAGGTTCCCTAACATCTCCCTGACTGTCTCCTCTTGAGTGAAAGCAGAGATGAAGATGGAGCCACCTCATGAATTGTTGCTGTAAAGGTTAAATGATTTATATGCCACTCTTATAAGGGATATAATTGAGACACATTCAAAGACATGAAAGCGCATTCACAGTGCAATGTTGATTGAAAAAAGGGTGAAGTATGATCCCATTTCTTAAAAATTATGCATATGTGTGTGTGTGTGTGTGTGTGCGTCTGTGTGTATACATATATAACAGAAAGAATGCTTTTTTCAGCTGGCTTTTCTACATTCTAAATTTTCTATAATAAAATGCTGTTTTACTTTTCTGTTAAAAAAATAAATCTGTAAGTTGTTTTTAAGAGAAAACTTCATTGCAGCATTGTGCAAAATAATTATCAATTGGAAACTACCTGAATTTCAGCAATAGAGTAATAATGGGATGTTAATGGGATGTTATGATTGCTACATTAAAATGTTAATTATTAGTTTCTTAAATTTTACATTGCTTAGTATTTTTATTTTATTTTAGGCAAACTTTGGAGTCGGAGTTTAAAACTAGCTTATACTCTACTTAATAAACTGACTAGTAAGAATGAACCACTACTTAAACCTGGAGACAGAGTAAGTAACCAAATGCACCTTTGTTGGAGTGAGTGAGAATGGAGACTAAAAATCTGTTTCATTGACATCAGTGTGCTCTCAGTTGTTCAGATTTACAGCATTAATACAAGGGATTTAAGTCAGCGATGAAAACATATTAAATGTGGAAAAAGTTTTTGTTGATGTAGGTAAAATGGTCGTTCCTTTTATTCTCCCTTATTGCCCCTTTCCTGATTCTTAAACCTCTTTTCTCTTTGACTTCATATGTGTTGATTTTAATAAAAATATTAATATCAGATATTAATCAGTGCTACATTTCCAAAGCTTAAGTTTTGTGAAGAAACGTTGACCTTACTTTGAAACTCTGTGTGTTTTATATTCATCTCCTTCCCTCTTCCATGTGGCCAGAACAGAACTCAGAGGAGGCTTGGGGCTTAGTTCCTCGTCCTGCACTGCCCAACATGGTCGGCAATAGCCACAGGGGGCTGTTTAAATTAGCCCAAATTAAATGAAATTAGAGTTTTAGTTCCTTAGTTGCACGAGCCCCATTTCCAGGGTTCAGTCACTGCGTGTGGCTGACAACTAACTACCATATTTGATAGCTCGGAGAAAAAACGATTCCACCATTGTGGGAAGTTCTGCTACACAGCACTGCTCTAGGCAAACTGAGCCAGACTTGGGGAACCCTGGTGTAGCGGGAGGTCCAGCGTGGTGAAAGCCAGCATACTCAGCCGTGAAATCCCCAGTGAGAAAGGTTGCCTGAGGTCAGGTCACCCAGCAGGGAAGCTGTAGGTTGACAGGATGGTGTGGGGTTTCAGACTGCTCTCAAGTGCCTCAGTCTTTAATGTGGACCAGTAGCCAAGGACATTTATGGACCACGAAACTTCAACATGAAAGAGCACAACCAAAGGGCAAAAAATGGGGAAAAAAAGAAAAGGGGAAAGTGGGGGGAGGGAGGGAGGAAGAGGAAGCAGACCTACTTGGAGGAAAGCTAGATACAGAAAACAGTTTTTTTTTTTTTAAATTAGTCTTAATATCCCTGGAGATCTGAGGTGAAGATATTGCTCCATAAATCAACAAGAAGATGCTAGTGGGGGAGACCAAGATGGAAAGTAGGAAGGATAAACGGTGCAGATTAGACTTGATCAAGAAGGCCGACATCTGACTAATAGGACTTCCAGAAAGAGAAGGGGGAACAGAGAGTAGAAAGTTTTTAATGCTAATGATGATGCAAGACTATACCCCGGAGCGGGGGGGGGGGGGGGGGGGGGGGGGGGGGGGGGGGGGGGGGGGGGGGGGGGGGGGTGAAGGACCGGCAGGCGGTGCGGGGACCCCCACCGAGGCGCTTACCCCAGTGCTGCGTAGGGCAGGGTGCAGGAACCTCGCGGCCTCCTGGGGAAAGTGGGCTGTGCACAGAGGCCAGCAACCCCGGGGGCCTCAGTTTCTCAGTGTGGCACTGGGGGAGACAGCTGTGCTTCGGAAGCCCAGAGGGAGTGCGGTCTTCCTGGGCAGTTGACGGATGTGAGGGTGGGGCACCGTTCTCAGACAGGCAGGACTCAGAAGACTGGGCTCTTTCTTGGGAAGCTCACAGAGGGAGCGCTCCCACATACGAGTGAGTGGTCCGAACAGGAGAGCCACCAGGGTGGCCCAGGGTGACTGCGAGCTGCGGGCGAGGAGCAGCTGGACAGGACCAGAAGGGCGAGGCCCCAGGTGGGCAGGCTGGTCAGCAGCTGGTGAAACCCAGGAGCTTACCTGACTGGTTGGCTATTTAGAAATACTATTGACAGGTTTGACACACCCAGCGGGGCGTTTCCGAGCAAGCTGGCCGGTGCACACAGAGGAAGGGAAGCCGGTGAAAGAGACAGTGGCTGTCACCACCAGAGAGAAGGGGCACGCTTGGCTGTAGAAACGTAAACAGTACAGGAATGATTCCTTATGATACCTGGCGCTTTAGAACAAACCTCTCGGAACCCCTGACTTATGTTGTGCTTTAAAATGACTCTAAGAATCACAAATTTCTTTCTCTTGAAGAAAGTTCTTGCAAGGACAAGGACTTCCAGATACTTCATTGACTTGCAAGTGAATCCATGTAATTGGGTTAATTATAAAGGATTGATGAAATCACAGTTAGCGATTGATTTAGTGATTGGAAATGAATGGCAAGTTCATCCTCCTGTGATAATATACTTTATAAAAGTGAACAAACACAACCTTTATAACAGATTCTCTAAGGACATGTATGTTCTACCAGACATCCAGTCTTGAGGCTAAAGGTCACAGTTCTTAATCGTGGGACAAATGCTATTAACACCAACTTTCAAAGGAGATCTTTGCCGTTTTCAACAAACTTATTAGAAACTTGATTTCCAGTCCTCAAGTACAGAATTTTGATACAGATACAGCTTAAATTTTGTCTTATGAAGTACAGGGTTATTAATTATCCAAAGCCCTCGAAGGCCCTGTGTTGATGGTCCCCTCAAATACTATTCTGACTTATGTAGGTTTCGAGCACACTATTATTACAACATTTGGGACTTAGAAAAACCTCATCCCATAAATGGCTTTTAACTTAACCAGACATTATAAGAAATGGGAATTGGGATGATGGGAGAAGAGAAAGGTGGGGAATGAAGAGGGCTCAGTGTTTGTCTACAGTAACAGGAAATAAAACACATGTCCAAATACCTTCACACGTAAGACACGGCAGTGTGAGCATAGTATCGAAAAAGATGAGAGCAGTTGGCAAAAAGAGGATATAAAACATGTTAAAAGTGGCTGTCTTGGGGAGTGGGGAAGGGTGATATGGGTGTTGCTTTTCGTTAGTACTTTTTGTCATTTTGATTCTGTGTTTTAAAACTTTTTTCATAAAAATAAAAATGTAAGGTGAATGTAATTTAAACAGTGGCAGCATGATGACCAGGTGGGAGCAGGGAGTGGGCCCCCCGTGGAGACTCTGAGAGGGCAGCTGTAGGGGTCTTGCGGAGTTCTCTGCCCACCACCCTCCTCTGTTAATGTTTCGGCCTTGAGCGAAGGTCTGTCCAAGTAAAACGTTGGTGTCAGGATTTTTTCTTTTGGAAGACCTTTTGATAGACTTTGATTCCTGGTTCCCTCCTCATGTCCAGTTGTTTTTCACCTGGGCTACTTGATGGTGGGTGATGGTCCATCGCGTCCTTCCCTGAGTCGCTGCTGCCCAGATGGTCAGAGTGGACGGAGCTGGACCTAGACCCCGCGGGCAGACCCAGCTGCGCTTGCCTCTAGCCCCAGGAGTTTAACATTATTTTGTCGCGTGCGAGGTAAAGACCGTAACCTAAAGACTGTGTATTAGAAGTTACATGGCTGCAGACACTTAAGGACCAAGGGTTAGCACTCAAAGTAACGTTTTCTGTCTCAGCAGCAGGCATTCAGATGACTGAATTATTCACCAGTGGATTTCACGGTTTTCCTTTGTACTCTCGTAGGTGGCACTGGTGTTTCCTAATAGCGACCCTGTCATGTTCACTGTTGCGTTCTATGGGTGTCTCCTGGCAGAGCTGGTTCCTGTCCCCATCGAAGTGCCACTAACAAGAAAGGTAGCAAGCGCGGTGCAGGCCCCAGGTTCACGGTCTCTGAGGCTGCGTCCTGAAGTCCACGTGTCCATTCGCAGGCCTTAGTCTCCTCACTCCAGGTGCCGTCTGGAGCCGGGGGACAGGCCGGCGGGTCTCAGAGAGATTAGAGCAGCTTCATCTCCAGACGCTCCTTTTATGTATCTCGCTGGTGACAAGGGCACTGGAACAGCTGTTGGTGGGGCCAGTATCACTTGCTTGAATTTCCCAACAGAAACTAACATTTTCTCCTCCAATGCATAGAAGTTGGGATTTGATGAGGTTTTGTTAAATCATTTCTCAAAATGGTGTGTTTATTGATAATAACTTTCATTTCTTGGGGATAAGTAAATCATTACAGAGATGCCTTTTAGCTCACTTCTAAGTGATAGTTTTAAACATATGACATTCTCTTGCGTTTCTGTTCACTTCCATAACAGCGAGCAGCTTTCATCGCTGACAGATGACTTCTGGCCGGGGCAGGGGGCGGGTTGCTGGTGTTCTAGGTAGCTATTACATTTTAGGTATAAATACCAGTAATCTGATTATTGAAGAATAGATCATTTTAGGAGTAGATTCAGCATGTATTTTAGAAAATCATAGTTTTCTATGGTATCCCAGTGTTCAGGCAGTTGTTCACATGAGCATTATCAGCAAGAAATATTCAAGAATCCCAAAGGTGAAGCTTGTGAATAAAAGCAGTATATCCCAAAGGACAATATATGATGAACAGATACTCGAATACCAGGATTCTTAGGGTAAAACTAGAGTTTGTAAAATTTATAAGAAGAAAATGATAAAACTCTACTGAAGGACCTATTCTGTGTGGAAATAATTAAGATTGCTAAAGGTTAGGCCTGCCCATATTAATCAGTAAATTTCAAACACAAATCAAGTGTAAATTTCAATGCTGTTATGTTTGGAGTTTATTAAAACGGTATTAAATGTCATTTGCAAGAAAAACGTTTGAGAAATTAGCCCATTACCCAGAACTTTATATGTCATGGCAGAAAATATATCTTTCAAATTTAAAAACAATTGTATTTTATTTGGATGAAAACATAGTATATACCTATGGTATATACCTACACAGGGCTGAATTGTCCTAATTTTCCACGGGCTGAGAGAAAGCGTTCTGCTCTGTGTGAGCTGAGCACCTCTGCCTTCTCTGTTTCTGCAGGACGCTGGCAGCCAGCAGGTCGGGTTTCTGCTGGGCAGCTGTGGCGTCGCCCTGGCCCTGACCACGGACGCTTGTCAGAAAGGCCTGCCCAAGGCCCAGACCGGAGAGGTGGCGGCCTTCAAAGGTGGGCCTGTGGGCGGGCAGCATGCGGCCCAGTTCTCTGCCAAACCGGGCCCTCGGGCGTCCTTTCCTGTCAGTGACTGTTACAGAGACGGAAGGGCCTTCAGGAAAAGCAAGGCCGTGTTCTAGGCCTTGGGGAATCTTGCTCCTCGCCTGGGTCAGGCTCTCGACCTGTGCTGTCCAGCCTGGGGGCCACTGGCCGTCAGACATAAGTTCATAAAGGTTCAGTGAGGCGAGGCTCCTCAGCTGTCAGCAGCTCGGGCTGCACGTTGGGCGGCAGAGGCGCCGTTGCGGGGAGCAAAGACTCCTGACCCTCGCCTCTGCCGTGTCCCTGTCTGCACCCTCACAGGTTGGCCCCCCCTCACCTGGCTGGTGATCGACGGGAAGCACCTGACTAAGCCCCCCAAGGATTGGCACCCATCGGCGCAGGACGCGGGGGCCGGGACCGCCTACATCGAGGTAGCCACCTCGCCTGGCGAGGCTGAAACAGACCCCCGTGTTCAGGGCTTGTTCCCCGAGTGTAGCTGCTGATGCTTAGATCACAGGCAACAGCTTCTGTGCTTTGCCTTCACCCCAGAAAGATGAGGTGCCTTGTGGGAACTCACTGAGATCCTCCCCTGGGGACCAGCCCGCGTGCCCTGTCGCCCTCGGTACCTGCCCAGGGTGACCCGACTTCAGCTGAGGGTGTCACCTCGAGGGCCTGGGCGCGAAGTGCGCTCCAGTTGAACCGATGGTTGGTGAAGGGGGACGGCCTCCAGAGACATCGCCTAACGAGCTTGTGCTTTTGAAATCTTTCAGTATAAAACCAGCAAAGAAGGCAGCACCGTGGGGGTCGCAGTGTCCCACGCATCCCTGCTGGCACAGTGCCAGGCTCTGACCCAGGCATGCGGCTACTCAGAAGGTGAGGGTGTGGGGCGGCTCTCCAGCCGGGCACAAGGCACCTGGACGCTGTCCGCGTAGCATCTGCTGTTTAATCCAGGTCGTGCGGCTCGCGAGCTCGGGGCCTCTGCTCTCCTGGACAGGTGGAGTTTGGACATTGGCGTTACAGAGCGTGAAACCCACTCACTACCCATTGGTCTGTGCCCAGTGGGCTGAGGGGCAGCGCATTTTGCATTTTCTTATCGGGGCACACTTTTTCGTACTGTTTTCTGTGGCTGGCTTCGGCTTAAGCTGTCACACACTCAGATGTACCAGTGGAATATTTGTGGTCAGGGCTTGTCTCTTGGCAATGTACCGGCAGCTCCCCCTTTACTGTGAAATACCAGCTATGTAACGTAGAGAACTTTACTTCTTTCCACTAAAATACTGGAATTGAACAAAACTAGGAAGTAAATTGAGTGGTATGTGTAAAATCTGAAATATCAGTGTTTAGAAGCAAGGGCTAGCTGAGGGCACCGGGCAAGACTTCGGTAGACATTTGGAAAAGGATTTTAGCTGTGTTCAAGGGCCTGCGTAATTTTTTTTTAATTCTATCAAATCAGGTCCCCCGGTTTTCTTTTTCTTCTGATCCAGTGCTAACCATACATGTATCACCTATAACTTGGGCTCTTTAGCCAACAAGGGAACGTGTGTACAGTACTCTTAGCAGAATGCAGCAGCATTTCCTGGCACACAAACCAAACTTCCTATTCACTGTTGGGTGTTCCTCCTGTGGGTGCGCCTGGCAGCCCCAGGCTCTGTCCTCTGCCTGAGCTCTGAGCTCAGGGCTGTGCTGGAAGCGGCCCTGGGACCCCAGCTACCGCTGCGCCCTACAGCACGCTCAGCACAGCCTCTGGGAGAGAGAGTGGGCAGGAGGGAAGGAACATCTCTGAAGGGAAGTGACACGGGGAGCCTGTGACATTTCCCGGGGCTGCAGGATGACGTGAGAAGTGGGGGTGTGCGGGCGTAGGGTTGAGAGGTGAGAGACCCGCCACGGTCCTTCATCTCCACATCCAAGCCTGCAGCCTCTGGAGTGTATGCTGCTCCCTGTGTTTCCAGATTAGTGATCAGCAGATTCTCCGTTTTAATCCACAGTTGTATGACCTTCTACTTTTATGTTTTTCCAGTAATTTGAATAACCAAGTAACTTGATAACCAAGATTATTGATTGATTGGTGCATGGCATTTGGGAGCGCTGTGTATCTTTCCTAAAACTCTTATATGTTGATGATGTAATCATCTCAGGGTTTCTCTGAAAATGCACGTGACTTGTGAGGAGGGTCACTCCCCACAAGCCATGGTTAAACACGTGGTTTAGCCGTCTTTGTCCTCTTTCAGCTGAAACGTTAACAAATGTGCTGGATTTCAAAAGGGACGCCGGCCTGTGGCACGGAGTGTTAACAGTGAGTGCTGTGTCTAAACGACCTGACTGTTAGAGGGAGGGCCGCTAAGGCTTCACGTCCGTGGGTGACACCGAGCCCTATCGTGGCTGATGGAGAAACCCTTAGTCGTGTTGGTGTGAGCGGTGTCTCTGGACTGAGCTGTCCTCTGAGCAGAGCTCTGATGCTCTCTGTGCCTTTCCTGGCGGGGCTCGTGCCCAGCCCCGACCGCTCGTCTCTTTGCAGAGTGTCATGAACAGGATGCACGTGGTCAGCATCCCATACGCGCTGATGAAGGCGAACCCACTCTCCTGGATTCAGAAAGTGTGTGCGTATAAAGGTAACGGAAATAGCACCATCTCTCCATTCATCCTTCATTAGAGAAGCCTCTTTGAATTCATCTTTGGCGATTAAGAAAAAATAAAGCAGCATGCAGAACCGCAGGCGTGTGTGGGCCGGGGCCAGGCTCCCCTACAGCTGTGGTGGGTCTGAGTTGCCAGCGCTGGGGAGCTGGGGGGTCGTGGAGGACAGCTCTTCTCTGCAAGGGCCGTAGACTCCTAACTTTATTCTCTCACAGAAATGCTCCTAATTCTTAGTTCTTGAGGTGGTTTTCATTTGAAGTTAGGGCTCTTCAAGCTACCAGCAGCAAAGCTGTTTACTCAAAGCGGCTTATGACCCAGAGTGAGGGGGCTGCCCGTGGGGCCCAGCCTGCCCTGCTGTCCACCTGTGGTCAGTCGGTGCTTCCCCAGCACGGCCACACCTGCGTGGTCTGAGCGTCCCTCTGGCTCTGCTTCGGCGGAGCTCGGGGGCACCTCTAGTCACCCCTGAGGGGGACTCGGGCTTTCTTCGCACTGACTTGTCCCGGGTGGCCGTGTGCTTGCCGACTGCACCGATGATGGTGCCAGTTACCGATGTGGACGTGGGCCGTGCTCTGTGGCGTGTTGGGCGCTGTCTCTGTTTACCCTGCCTAATGGAGGAGAACCAAAGTCCGGTGGGGCATTTGGCGGGTGCCTCTGCTGGTGAGAGCAGGGCCGGGAATGCGGCCCAGCCCGTCTGTTCACATCGGGGGCCTCCCCGCAGCCCCACGTCCCCGGGGTCCCCAGCACAGGGCAGGCCCAGCCTCACGGCTGTGGGAGGGGCAGCTCGAGAGGGAGGGGCAGGTGTGGGGAGAGCAGAGAGGCTCCGAGAGAGAATCAGTTGCGAACGAGCGAGTTGATTTCTAGGTAGACTGGGCGGGGAGGCCGGGCGGCAGGGAGCACGCGGCCTGCTCTGTGTGCACGCGCCCCTGACGCAGGCACGTCCCCGCCCCCCCCGCAGCCCGGGCCGCGCTGGTGAAGTCCCGCGACATGCACTGGTCGCTCTTGGCGCAGCGAGGTCAGAGGGACGTCAGCCTCAGCTCCCTGCGCCTGCTGGTCGTGGCCGACGGTGCGAACCCGTGTGAGTACCGCCTGCCCACCCCCGCCCCCGCGGGCCAGCCGCCGGGGCTCAGGGCTGAGCCGGAACGTGTTGGGTGCCCCGTGGACACGGGTGCGTCTCCTGCACTGTGACTCGGGGTCTCGTGGTGACTCACGGGTGCGTCTCAGACGTGTTTGTCAGGCCTCTCCGTTTAAAGTGGTTTTGACACAGTGGACGGGAGGTCCGTGCCTGAGCGGGTCTGACCAGAGTGTAGATACAGCCAGAGCCCGGTTCAGGCTCCCAGCCTGTGGCCTGTGCCCCACTGCGCTGGCTTGGCCGCTGCGCGTTCCCGGCCGCCCCGTGTCCTCCCGGGGAGTTTTCTCACTGCTTTAACACCTGTGTGTCACTGTTCGTGCACTGAATCCGCCCTGGACCAGAGGCTGCCTTTCATCTAATACCCTGTCCAGCTGTGGCCCCGACACTCGGGAGGGCACCCTACATTCTAGCACCCCAAAGCCTCTCGTTCCCTCCACCCACCCCGAACCCCGAGGGCCCCGCCGTCCTGCCTCCAAAGCACCAGGAGCTGCCGGCTTCTCCGAGCCTCCACTGCGGTGCACCCGTCGAGCCACCAGGAGCCCGTCCCGGGGCTGCTGCCCCCCAGACCCCAGGTCCCACCACTCCGAGTGCCCGTCACTTCCCTGTAGCTTCGAGCCCTCTGGACGGTCTTGTGTGTCCTCTGCTGGACACAAGGACCCATGACCAGGTCCCCTCCTTCCCTGGAGCCTCGCTGTGCAGAGAGAGGGTGCAGGTCATGGTGCAGCCCCGGGGCCCCAGTGGGTGCAGGGCTGTGCTGACTCAGGCCCTGAGCGGGCAGCACCCAGCCTCCTAGGAGCTGAGTTTTCGTGGCCCGGTGACACTGGCGGAGAAGCAGGGACAGAGAGCTAGGCTGTGCCCGCAGGAGAGGCACGGCAGGGCTGCTTGGCAGAGGCTGCAGCTCCAAGGCACGCCCAGGAGAGGGCGCGCACGTGGCCGGGGCCTCAAGCGGTGGAAGGTTCGGCTGCGGCTCCATTAGTGCCCTGGGTCACCTCCCCTTTGGCAGAGCTGCCAGGAGGCGGGTGAGGCCGTGGGTTAGACCTCAGAGACAACGCCGGGCTGAGAGTTGGCTGCTTGTTTGCTGGTGATTTGAGAACGCGCCCTGTTTTTCATGGAAAGAGCCCCACCCCCTCCCCATGAGACTTTGACTGTGAGGTGGAGGGGTGCAGCCTCCAGGCCCGGCGCCGGGCGTCCCCCACGCCGCGTGCCCGTCGGCCTTGCACTCAGCTCTTGCGTCCACTCTGTCTCACGCAGGGTCCATATCCTCCTGTGACGCGTTCCTCAACGTCTTCCAGGCCAGAGGGCTGAGGCCGGAGGTGATCTGTCCCTGCGCCAGTTCCCCGGAGGCGCTCACGGTGGCCATCCGCAGGTAGACCATGCTGTAGACGCTTAGTTCTTCCTCGTTCAGCCGAATTACCTGTGGTAGCAGATTTGGTTGATCTGTTCCTGAGCAGGAGAAATCGAGAGCAGCGACCGGCCCTGGGCCCGTTTCCCAGGTGTGTTGGTGCTGTAATGGGGCAGCCCCAGGTGCCACATCCAGCAGCCTGTGTTGGCCGCATGTCCCACGCCGGCCTGGTTTGTGGCGCAAGTTTGATAGCGGCTCCCTGGGTCGCGATCTCTGGATTCTTGCAGCACGCGAGCTGGTTTTCCCGGGTGTTCCTCCGATCAGGAAGGCCTTGTGTCCCGCAGTAAACACTGCAGCCAGGACTCGCCCCTATTCCGGGGCAGGGTGGCCGGCGGCCAGCGCGCATCAGCTGTGGACGGGGGTCTGTGCCTGTGGGACCCTTGACCTCCCAGTGGTGCCCCCAGCCCCACCGCCCCCAGGCTGCATTGTCTCTGGGCTCATCCATGTCGCTCTGCAGGCCTCCGCAGGTGTGCCCCTCGGCTCACCTTCCTGCCCAGGTCGTCCACGCTGCCCTGAGCGCCATCCTCGGGTAGAGGGCAGCGTCCTCTCAGCTGCGGGTGACTTAGTGTTAATTTTCCACCCTCAACTCAAATTAGCCTCAGCTGTGGTCTTGTGTCACGTCTGTGTATTTATAAATAGTGGTGTAAGTGATGGTAAAACTTTAGTAACAATTAGCAGTGGAAACAACGTGTTTATTCTTCACAGACCATGAGGTGTTCTTCGTTCCTTTGTTCTATGGTGATTTCTTGTGCTCAGCAGAGTAGTGTTTTCCCGCTGGAGAAGATGTGACATTTGTTTCTCAGTATCCTGGTTCCTGCTGCTGCGAAACTAGTCAGGCCCAAACTTGGCGTCGCAAACAGCAGCAGTCACTTTCCTCCCTCTCCTGCTTCCCACGGTCAGGGGTTGCGAAGGGCTGCTCAGGGCAGTTCTGCCGGTAGTTTGATGGTCTCGGGCTGGCACGGGCTGGGGAGTGGCCGGCGCTTCGTTGTTCCTGCGTGCGGTCCCAGGCTCCTTCCCCTGGCTTTGGTGCTCGCAGGCTTGCTCCCAGGAGGCGTGTCGCTCTGCTCACCTGCTGCTTGGGGCTCCGGGGGATGTCCCAGGACGGCCTGGTGGAAGCGTCCTTGCGGCCCACAGGGGCCCCCTGCAGAGGAGTGCGTGGGGTGGGGCGTCGTGCAGACCTGTGGAGACACATGCTGCCCCCCAAGGTCCTGCAGCCAACGTCCCCACAGCCGGCGCAGACGGGCACCTGGCTGCTCATCGTCCTGTCGGCAGGGGGCCGTGGTCCCACGCCCACGGGCTCTTTCCCCTTGTCAGTTAATCAGTTTTGTTTCCAGGCCGCCTGACCTGGGGGGCCCTCCTCCAAGAAGAGCTGTGCTGTCGATGAGCTGCCTCAGTCACGGGGTGATCAGACTGGACGCGGAAGAGAAGCTCTCGGTCCTGACGGTTCAGGATGTCGGTCAGGTGATGCCTGGAGGTGAGGTCACAGCTGGGGATGGTCTTGTCCTGCGGCCGGGCGGCAGCAAAGGCTCTGGAGCACGCGAGCACCAGAGGGCTTCAGGTGATTCCCCATGTGAATTGGGATTTTAATTAGTAACATATTTTTTGCTTTTTGCCTCCCTTTGTATCAAGTTAAAGTTGTGCTGAAATACGAGGTGTGTCTATGGCCTGTGAACCGGACTCTGGTTCTCCACCGTTGGGGAAGTAGTGCCAGAGCTCGGGTTCTGGGTGCTCACTGCGCACCAGGCAGTCGTCACGCCTCTCTCGAGGCCAGGCGTCAATCTCAGGCCCCTGGACGTCTGCAGGTAACCCGGTGATGAGACTGTCTCTACATCCTGACAAGGGCCTGTTAGGGGAGCAGCGTGGCCCTGAAGGTTCCCAGGGATCCCTGTGCTCCCGGAAAGGCCCCGGGCCCAGATGACACATGCGTCGCGGGGTGTCTGTGCCGCCGTGGCAGCCAGCGAGCGCAGGAAGGTGACGGCGCTGTGCCCTGAAGCTCCCCCGCAGGCGTGAGCACACGCGGGACCCTGCGCAGGGTCATGGGGGAGAGTTGAGAGCAGAGCCGGGCCCGGGAGGCCCTGTGGCACTGAGTTGGGGAGCGCCCCTCACCGCAGTGACCCCGTGGCTGCTCCAGCTCCCCTCCTCCCCGTGCTGGCCCTCCTGGGCTCCGGGCAGCTGCCAACCCACCTGGGCGCCTCCGGAGAGCGGCCCCATCTCTGCGCCAGTCGCCCCGTCTGCTGCTCTCCGGGGTACAGGGCCTGCGTGGGCGGGGCGTGAGCCGCCCACCCTCGGGGACAGGCTGGGAACCAGCGGGAGGGCCACGGGCCGCGGTCTGGGCCTGTGCGTGTGCCAGAGGTCGGACACGTACAACAAGGCGGGACGTTTGAGTTTGTTTCTAGTTCCACTTTCTTAGAAGCGTGAGTTGTGTTTTTTCCTTGCATAAGTCTACCAAAAATAAGGACTCAGCGGTTCTGTAGAGGCAGGAACTCCAGCATAAACATTTTATGAGGGGTAAAGAGCAGGGTCCTTCTGATTTTTAGTTGTTATGTGGCGAGCACAGTAATTCTTTAAAAGATGGTGAAATATTGTAATAGGTGATTCTTTTGATTGAAAGTATAAGGACTTTCGTTTTATTCTTAAACTTGGACCAGGTTCTGTGTGTGTGCACACACTCCCTCAGGCACGTGTGTGCTCCCTCAGGGGTGTGTGTGGTGTGTATGTGCACGTGCTCCCTCAGGGGTGTGTGTGTGTCTGCGCACATGCTCCCTTGGGGTGTGTATGTGTGCACGTGCTCCCTCAGGGGTGTGTGTGTGTGTGTGTGTGTGCGCATGCGTGCACACGCTCCCTCGGGTGTGTGTGTGTCTGTTGCCGGGATTGTTGCAGGCCTGAGTCAGTGAGGACCTGGGGGGTCTTGTTTTCGGCAGATGCGCAGCCTTCTCTGTGTCAGCCCCAGGGTTGTGTTAGCACGGCACGCCGGGGTTGTCCCTTTTGGTCTGGTTGTGGCGTGGGCGGGGTCTCTGTTGTATTAGAATGCAGGCGAGTGCACGGATCTGGGGGGAAACGCACACAGAGCAGCGCCACCCTCCACTGCCTGCCCTCCTGAGGCTCTGGGCCACAGGCGGCCGCATCAGTGGGCACGCTGCTTGGTGAAGACAGAAGGGGGTCATGGGGCCGCGGGAGGGGCCCACGCTCGGGTGGGGTCGTCAGACCTGGTGTGGGAGCCAGCCCGAAAGGCAAAGGTGTGAGCGGATGGCACCTCCCATCTCCTGCGGGTTCAGGAGGGCGGTGCCGGTGGGGACGACAGAGCCCGCGTGACTGGGAGCGTTTCTGTCACCTTCAGGTACCGCGTGTGGAACATGAAGGCTTGTGGCCAGAGGGGTGTGAGTGTCCAAGCCTGGAGCACACGAACTGTTCGTGTCCACCCTGCAGAGGCCAAGCCCGCGGGTCTCTGGGGATGGCCCATCTCAGTGTCCTCTTGGTTCGTGCCCTTGAGGGTTGTTTTCTCTCTTTAGCTAACGTGTGTGTTGTGAAGGTGGAGGGGACCCCTTACCTCTGTAAAACCGATGAAGTTGGAGAAATCTGCGTCAACTCCAGCGCGACGGCGACAGCATACTATGGGCTGCTTGGGATCACAAAGAACATCTTTGAGGTCCGTGCCTGGTCCCTACTTTGTGCAGAGGTCGAGTCCGCAGCTGCGGAGGGGTGGGAGGGGACAGTGTGGCTCTCGGCAGTGCCCGCTCTGGCAGGCCAGCCCTGCGTGGGCGCCTCGTGGCCCTGACGGATCCAGGTTGGCCCGGGGAAGCTGGCCTCTGGGCTGGAGCCGTGGGGTCGTCAGGAGAGTCCAGCGAGTGCCCCCCAGCCCCCAGGCCGGGACGGGACAGGCCGGGAGGGGGAGCACGGGCCGTGGAGGCCAGGAGCCTGAAGGGGGTCTCACCAGACGGCAGCGACTCTGGCCCTGGTGGGAGCCCCTTCCCCTCCAGGGAGACGCGGTGATGCCCGTCTGAGGAGCCACGCCCGGCGCGGGCAGCGCATGCCTGGCCCTCTCTCTCGCCCGCCTGCCGCTCGCTTGACCCCTGTGGACCACGCCTGACCTTGTCCTCCCCACTCTGTGCAGACTGTCCCAGTCACGGCAGGGGGCGCACCCGTCTGCGACAGACCTTTCACCAGGACGGGGCTGCTGGGCTTCATCGGGCCTGTGAGTATGTCCCGCTGGCAGCCCTGGGCCTGCAGATGGGCTCAGAGCTGGGGAGGGGTGCTGCTCTGCGTCCCCTGTGCACGGGACCGCCCCCCCCCCAACAGAGTCCCGGCCTCCAGGACGTCACTGGGGCCGAGCTGGGGAGCCCTTTCTGTAGCGCAGGAGCATCAAGTCCTTAACAGACTTCACCCTCAGCTGCATTCCCATCTCTGACCTTTCCGGTGCTGATGCCTGCCCTGGGTGCCCCCTCGCCCCGCCCCGAAAGCCTGCCAGGCTTAGGGCCTCTTCACCCCTGGTGGCCCCTGCCTGGGTCTCCCTGTCACCGTGGGCAGGGGGCCCGCTGGCCCTGTCTGTGAGTTACTTGGTCTCCGAGCTGTCGGGTCTCTGTAGCAGGGCCTGAGCCACAGGGCCTGCCCACGTGTCCGGGGCCCGACCAGCGTCCTTGCCTTCAGGATAACCTGGTCTTCGTCGTGGGCAAGCTGGACGGGCTGATGGTGGTGGGGGTCCGCAGACACAACGCGGACGACATCGTGGCCACCGCACTGGCCGTGGAGCCCATGAAGTTTGTCTACAGAGGCAGGTGATGCGCTGCGGGTCCCCTTGCCGTGCCTTTAGGTTCCTTCTCTAGCTAACCTTCGAGAGGTCTCCTGCAGTGGAAGGAAAGCCCGGTGATTTGAATACACAAAACCTAAAAATTCCTGTTCATCAGAGGAACTTCACAAAGAACAGGATGACATTTGCAGCGAGGATGCCAGAGTTGGAGTCCTCACCGCCCACAGAGCTCATGGTTCCTTAGAGGGTGAGATCCAGACCTCGACCTGGGCACGGAGCACAGTGCGCGTGAGGGCGAGGGCACCTGGGCAGCTGCCGGAGAGCCTCGGGAGTGCGGGCTGGAGCGGAGGGCACCTTTTTGCCTGAAATCACCCGAGGCCGTTGTCTCCTGGGATAGAGTCAGTTCGCCTTCTCTGAATGTGTTAGGCAGTCACTTTACAGATTCTCATGTCCATAGAGCACGTAAGGGGGCCCCTGGCCCGGGCCCCGGGCGGCTGGGGCGGGGAGGGGGCGCCCTGTCCAGCTTGTCCAGCTCCGAGCTCTCTTTGTCCTGGAGGAGGCAGCCCCTTCTCCTAGTTGGCCCACTCAGCCACTGCATTTCTTCACTGTATTCTTCTCAAGGTAGTGCTTTCGTTACTCAAGCTAAGGTGCCTATAAGCCTGCCTGGAGCCGTCCTTTGAATATACCTTAAAGAAACAGTCAGGGAATTCTGCCAGTGGTAGGTGAGCATGGTCTGCCGGCCCTTCTCCGGGTCAGGATGACGGCCGCGAATAAGCACTCGGGAGAAACCAGCAGGGCGGGCAGGCCTGGTGGGTGCGTGCAGCCTGGAGCCGGGGCGCACAGGACTCAAAGCAGAAACCGGAGACACCGTCAGTGCAAGTGTCCACCGAGCGGACTCCGGGGTAGCCCACGCCTGCTCCTGGGTGCGTTAGGGAGCCTCGCATGGCCACCGACACCTGATGGCACCTGGAGGTGAAGCCGGCCCAGCGACTAGCGGGGGTGCAGGGTGGTCGCGGCGGCGGATGGAGAGGTGGCCTACCTGCGTCCACCAGGGAGGAGCTGTGCACTGGACGAGGTCACGGCGTCCCGACAGGACAGTGTTTAGCAGATGGAGTAAATGTAGGGCAGAGGCGGCTGTAGAGTGAGCTGATAAGCTGGAAAGCCAGATAAAGGAATTTCTCCAGAAGTCAAGAAATAGAAAGTTTAAAAGAAAAATTAAGAGGGAAGTGGAGCAAGAAGGCCTGGCATCCTGAGAGCAGACTCAGGGTGGGGGATGTGTGTCTGGACCCTGAGGAAGGGGGCCCGTGGGGTGGGCCTCCAGCCAGGATGCGTCAGACTCCCCAGCAGAGGGGCTGGAGCCAGAGGATGACAGTGCAGTAACGTTTTAAGTTTTTCAGAGGAACTTTTTTTTTTTTGCCGTACGCGGGCCTCTCACCGTTGTGGCCTCCTCTCCTGTTGTGGAGCACAGGCTCCGGACGCGCAGGCTCAGCGGCCATGGCTCACGGGCCCAGCCGCTCTGAGGCATGTGGTATCTTCCCGGACCGGGGCACGAACCCGTGTCCCCTGCATTGGCAGGTGGACTCTCAACCACTGCGCTGCCAGGGAAGCCCCAGAGGAACTTTTAACCTAGATTTTATATTCATCCCAAGATGTCACTTAATTGTGCAGTTGCAGTAAAAGTATTCTTGGGTACGTAAGGTTCAGAAGTTTTGTCACAAAAAGACCATGTTTGTGAAAACACTTTTGGGTGAGGTACTAAGAGAAACAAGATGTGTGAAAGTAAGGAAATGTTAATACTGGGTAAAGTTTGTTGCATTAAAGAGAGTGGGTGCACGTGTGCGTGTGTGTGTGCCTGTGCGTAGCGGCCAAAGGAGCAAGCCAGAGAAGGTAGGTCAGTGAGGGCCCAGAGCTAGCTTGGCAGCCGTGCCAGCAGGATGGGCGTGATGGGGAGACAGATGCTTGTCTCATAAAGAAAAGGAGAATCCACTCAAAGTCCAGAGGAAGAAAAAGGCAGCACAGAGAAAAGGAGAACATGTCGAACTTCTTCGATCAGACGCGAGAAAGAAGACCACTGCCGTCAGCCACAGACAGGAGCAGAGTGATGGGTGGTGCGAGATTTCATCTGGTCGAAGAAATAGATAATTAACAGAACTTCTCGACAGAGGCTTCTGCATAAAGGAGTGCATCACATAGATTAACATTGCAATTAAGGAAAACGTTCTTTACAACATGTGCCTGGTTGTTTGCTGTGCACTGAAGTGCTCTCTGTTTGTGAATCGAAACTTACTTCATCCACATTGGAGGAGGTTCGTGGCTGCTTCCCTTTAAATTCTGTTGGACAACGTCTCCCTCCAGCCCTGCTGCGGGTTCCGTCTGGGCAGGACGGGGCGTCCGCGTCCCGGCCCCCCTTGCCGGGCCGTCATCTCTGTCCCTTCCTCCCCCAGGATTGCGGTGTTCTCCGTGACAGTGCTGCACGATGACCGGATCGTGCTGGTGGCAGAGCAGCGGCCCGATGCCTCAGAGGAGGACAGCTTCCAGTGGATGAGCCGTGTGCTACAGGTGGGTGCGTGTGGGCACTGGCTGAGCGCGAGCTGACCCTCGAGGTGAGGGGTGGCCCCACGGAGCTGCCATCCACCGGGGTGAGAGATGTAAACTTGCACGCATCGGTGTTGTGCTTTGAGAATTTCAAACGTGTAGCAAGGTGGAAGCATAGCCCAGTGAACCCTTCGCGCCTGGGCTGGGACTCCGCGTGCTTCCCACCTCGTGACACCCGTTTGACACGCACATGCCCTCGGCCTCACCCGCGTGCTGCGCACTTTCCTTCCCTACACGTCCACGTTTACATCCTTAAATAATGAACTAGATTCAACAAGTTCTTTTGCCGGGAAGGGAGTAAACTTTGCCTTCAGTAAAGAGCACAAACTAAGTGTCCACTCAGCTTTACTGAATGTAACTTACATGTAGAAGGAGCCCATTTTCAAGTGTCCAGGTTGATGAGTTTTGACAAGTATACGCACCCAGGTAACCACAGGTAAGAGTGCTCCCGTCTAACGGGGAACCGCTGGCTGCTTTGTGTCGCCGGGGATGAGCCCTGCCCCCTCCCTGGACGTCCGTGCAGACGAATCTCAGTGTTGGCTCCTGGTCTGGCATTCTTTCCCTTGGCATCACGTTTGTGTGGTTCCTCGTGGTGTGTGGATCAGTGGCTCATTCCTTTTTATTGCCAAGTTGTGTTCTTTTGCTTATCTGTTCACACCTTGGTGGACGTTGGGTTGTTAATTTTTGGCTATTGTGAATAAGGCTACTGTGGACAATAGTGTACAAATCTTTGGGTGAATTTCAGTCCTGGCGGCTTTTCAGGGAAGCCCTCTGGTGTCCCGACAGCTCCGGTTGGTTTTGTGGTGTGTGCTCGGCCCCAGCCACCTAAGAAAGGACACTTGTACAGAGCAGACAAAGTCCAGTGTCGGGGAGGCCAGGGAGCTCTGAGCTTCAGAGGATCGGTTTTTCTACTAATATTTACAACGTTTATTTTTAATGAAAATTTTTAATGTTTTGTTATGGAATATTTCTGATATACGAAACATACAAAGGAGAGTGTAACAACCCCTGTGTGTCCATCGCTGCTTCAGCAATGACCAACAGTCAAGGCCCCAGCCGTGCCCCGCCCATCCTTCCCGCTTCTCCCTCGGGAGTGCTTGGAAGCAAATCCCGGACTCACAGATTTTACCTGTAAATTTGAGTATTTCTTTCTTTAAAAAAGAAGTACCAGTATCACGTCTTAAAAATTAACAATAAAATTTTTATTCAGGTATAATTGACATGTAACACTGTATTAGTTTCAGGTGTACCACATAATGATTTGATTTTGTATATATAGTGAAAGAGCCACTACGTCTAGTTAATGTCCGTCAACACACAGAGTTACAGAATTTTTTTCTCGTGGTGAGCACTTTTAAGATCTACTCTCTTAGCAACTTTGAAACACAGAGCACAGCATTATTAACTACAGTCCCATGCTGTACATGGCATCCCCAGTACTTATCACCTTATAACTGGAAGTTTCTCCCTTTTGATGCCTTCACCCATTTCTCCCACCCCACCCCCACCCCTCACCTCTGGCAACCACCAATCTGTTCTCTATGTCTATGAGCTCATCTTTTTGTTTTTGTTTTTAGATTCCACATGTAAGAGATCATATGTTTTTGTCTTTCTTCATCTAATTTATCTCACTTAGCATAATACTATGAAGGTCCATCTATGTTGTTGCAAATGGCAAGATTTCATTCTTTTTTATGGCTGAGTAATATTCCTGTGTGTGTGTGTGTGTGTGTGTGTGTGTGTGTGTGTGTGTGTGTGTGTGTACCACAGTTTCTTTATCCATTCATCCATTGATGGATGCTTAGGTATGTTGGCTATTGTAAATAATACTACAATGAACAGAGGGGTGCATATATTTTTTTTAAGTTAGCATTTTGGTATTTTTTTATTCACTTATTTATTTGTTTTTGGCTGCATTGGGTCTTTGTTGCTGCATGCAGGCTTTCTCTAGTTGCAGTGAACAGGGGCTACTCTTTGTTGCGGTGTGTGGGCTTCTCATTGCGGTGGCTTCTCTTGTTGCAGAGCATAGGATCTAGGCACATGGGCTTCAGTAGTTGTGGCTCTCGGGCTCTAGAGCGCAGGCTCAGTAGTTGTGGCACATGGGCTTAGTTGCTCCGTGGCCTGTGGGGTCTTCCCGGATCAGGGCTCGAACCTGTGCCCCTGCATTGGCAGGCGGATTCTTAACCACTGCGCCACCAGGGATGTCCAGCATTTTTGGTTTTTTTCCAATAAATACCCAGAAGTGGAATTGGTGGATCATATAGTAGTTCCATTTTTAGTTTTTTGAGGAACCCCCATATTGTTCTCCATAGTGGCAGCACCAGTTTACTTTCCCACCAGCAGTGCACGAGGGCTGCCTTTTCCCCACATCCTCGCCAACACTTGTTGTTTCTTGTCCTTTTGATAATAGCCATTCCAACAGGTGTGAGGTGATATCTCATTGTGGTTTTGATTTGCATTTTCCTGATGATTAGTGATGTTTAGCATCTTTTTATATACCTGTTGGCCATTTATATGTCTTCTTTGGAAAAATGTCTATTCAGGTCCTCTGCCCATTTTTTAATTGCATTATTTGATTTTTGTTTTTGTTTTATTTTGCTGTTGATTTGTATGAGTTTCTTATATATTTTGGATCTTAACCCTTATCAGATATATTATTTGCAAATATTTTCTCCCATTCAATAGGTTCCTTTCATTTTGTTGATGGTTTCCTTTGCTGTGAGAAGCCTTTTAGTTTGATGTAGTCCCACTTGTTTATTTTTGCTCTTGTTGCTTTCGCTTTTGGTGTCAAATCCAAAAAAATCATCACCAAGACTGATGTCAAGGAGTTTACCATAGCCTCTGTTTTATTCTAGGAGTTTTACGGTTTCAGGTCTTACATTCAAGTCTTTAATCTATTTTGAATTAGTTTTGTGTGTGGTGTCCAGTTTTCCCGACACCATTCATTGAGGGGGCTTTCTTTCCCTGTTGTCTGTTCTTGTCTCCTTTGTTGTAAGTTAACTGACCACATATGTGTGGGATTATTCCTGGGCTCTCTATTCTGTTCCATTGATCTACATGTGTTTTTGTGCCAATACCATACTGTTTTGATTACTATAGCTTTATGATATTTGAAATCAGTGAGCATGATACTTCTAGCTTTGTACTTCTTTCTTAAGATTACTTTGACAATTCAGGGTCTTTTGTGGTTCCGTACAAATGTTAGTGTATTTTCTAGTTCTGTGAAAAATGTCATGGGTATTTTGATATTGCATTAAATCTGAAGATGGCTTTGGGTAGTATGGACATTTCAACAATATTAATTCTTCCAATCCATGAACTCAGAATATCTTTCCATTTATTTGTATCTTTTTCAATTTCTTTTATCAGTGTCTCATAGTTTTAAGTGTACATGTGTCCTTCACCTCCTTGGTTAAATTTATTCCTAGGTATTTTGTTCTTTTGGATGTAATTGTGTATATAATTTATATATATATATATATATATATATAATTAAATATTTAGTCACTATTCAAATTTCCTGGATTATCTAATGTTTAGTATGTGTGTTAAACTCAGGATCAAAATAAGGTAAAAATGGCACTTGGTGGGGCCAGGCTTTTAAGTCTTTTTTAATTTTTTGTCTCACTATGAACTAGTGGATTATAGTTGTTATATTTTTGACAGTGGTCAGTGGGAGTCTCTTCGGACTGGCTCTTGAGCCCTTTAGACACACCTCCTGGGTTCTTTGAGGCCACACCTGGGAACAGGAAGCTCGATTCCTGGGGAGGTGGTGCATTTTGTGTCCTAGACCCGACACTCCTGGGGCCCCGCTGCCTTCTAGGGGAAGTGGAATTTGGGCACTGTCTGGGAACTTGATGTTACTGGCTTTTTTCAGTGGACAGAGTAGGAGGTGATGTCCGCCTGCTTTGCAAGATTACCTGCATCATGGGTTTATGCTGCTAGTTCCAGCTCAAGACCTCAGGGTTTTTTCTTAAGTCACCGATCTTTCTCCACAATGAAAAATTGCAGTGGTGATACTTCCAGCAGAAGTACTCGTGCCCTGAGGCCACTCTGCACACACCATAGTCTCCAAATAACCGTCTCCACACTACCTCTCAAGTATGAAATTTCCGAGCGCAGCTTAAGATGTTTTTTCAGTTCTTTTTGCCCGTGGGACTGGACTAATGAAATTCCTGTGTTTAAAGTCACTATAAATAGATTCTCTCTGGGGCTGTGCTACCAACCTGATTCCACTTTGGTTGAGTTCAATTGTTTTATTTTACTTTCAGTTGTCAGGGATTGCTTTTTTAAATTTTAAGTTTTTTGTGTGTAAAATATATACATGGTTCCAAATTTGAAAGCAAGGCGTATTCAGGGGAGTCCAGCTTCTGCCTGCCTTGCTGTTCACTGCTTCTCCCACAGGACGTCACTTAACTACTTTTACGGCTTTTTTTTAATGTGAGCAGTTACAGATTTATATTCGATTTGTGTACATACACAGAACGTGTGTGTAAGTGATAGGAAATGCACACTCGCCTCGCCATGTTTCTCTTCTAGCAAAATGTCCCAGAGGTCACAGTTCCCCGTCTCATGCCCCCCTTTCCAGGCCATCGACAGCATCCACCAGGTGGGCGTGTACTGTCTGGCCCTGGTTCCTGCGAACACCTTGCCCAAGGCCCCTCTAGGAGGGATTCACGTTTCTGAAACCAAACAGCGCTTTCTGGAGGGGATGCTGCACCCGTGTAACGTGTTAATGTGCCCTCACACGTGTGTTACCAACCTTCCCAAGCCTCGCCAGAAGCAGCCAGGTTAGTGTACATCCCACAACACGTCTATTCCGTCTTCAGACTGCAGCAGCTACGCTTCTGTTTAACTGGTGCAGCCCTGTTGAACGCTCCATCTCTGGGGTCGGGGCTAAGAGCCAGAGCGAACGGCACACCGGGTCGGTCCCCACCTCCTGCCCCCCAGGGGAGAGCACAACCCCACGTCCCCAGCATGGGGATTCCCCCCGCCTGTTAGCACCCACCCCAGGACTGGATTCAGGCCTGGCGTCTGAGCTGTGGAGGCTGCTCCCTGGGGGCAGAACTGATGCCCAAGAGCAGCCCTGGAGCTTGGAATGTAAAGCGCCGCTGCGGCCACCATTGTGCCGTGGGGCGCCGGCCACGCCGAGGCCACGGGGCCTGTGGGCACTGCACGTGCTGCTACTCGGCTCTGTCATCAGCCACGGTCACCGGGTTGACCTAGGAAGCCCCAACAAACGGTCAACTTCCCTTCCCTGGTTTAACTCTTAGGTACGGTTTTTCATTCCTTTGGTTATGTAAATTTTTAGTAAATGCTAACCTTTGTTGATTATTACACACATAAAATACCATTAAATGAAACACAACCAGTAAAACAATGAGATAAATACATTAAGAGTTTAGCTGTGGCTGAGGTCAAATCATATCTCCCCAGGGCATCTGCCATGTGGTGAATGTCTCCATCTGGCTTGTTTGTAAGAGAGAGATTCTGTTTGTCACTTAGCATAACCCTTGTAGCTGGTTTCCCGAACACCTGTGTCATAGTGAAGAATTAAATGCCTGCCTGTTCAAATAAAAAGTTGTGTGATGATTACCTCTCAGACGTCACCCACCTCTCACTCGCAATCCCCTCTCGTTTTCTAGAGGTTGGGCCAGCCTCCATGGTTGTTGGGAACCTGGTCGCTGGGAAGAGAATCGCTCAGGCCTCGGGCAGGGAGCTGTCTCACCTGGAGGACAGTGACCAGGCGAGGAAGGTAAGGGCGGGTGGCTAGGGGGAGGAGGGGCCTCCCTGGCGGCTGGGAAGCCGCCAGCACTGAGCGCCCCCCGTGCGCCCCGCAGCTCCTGTTCCTGCCCGACGTGCTGCGCTGGCGGGCCAGCACCACGCCCGAGCACCTGCTCTTCCTGCTGCTCAGCGCCAAGGTGAGGCCGCCCACGCCTGCAGGCCATTCGCTGCCCGCCTAGGAGGGGGGCTGAGGTCTGTTTCCCAGCCGTGGCGCTCAGGCTCAAGGCCTCACGTTTGGAGAACAGCAAGCCTTGGCACCCAGGCCCCGGCTGGCCTGCCTCTCTGTGTGGGAGCCTCAGCTTCCACACAAGCCACACAGTTACCTTTCTGTGGCTTTTATATTTAACAGGAAAATTCTCATTACCTTGTCTTTTGATTATGAATAGTATGCATGTAAGTACTCCTAAGTGAACTAAAAGGAAATGTTTATTTTGTAAAGATTAGGAATTTAGACCTTCTACATTTGCTGATAGCTTTAACATGACAAATACTGCTTACTGCCCTGATCCTGGGTACCTTTCAGCGGGCGTTACACGATACCAGGGGCTTCTAGGGTATAAAGGAGAAACTGTAAGTTATGGGCCAGTAGACAAACTATGAAAACGTGAAAAATAACAATGAAAACCCTGCATGACTCGCTGTCAGACGCTCCCGGGCCCACGAGGACGCTTGTGCTCTGACGTCTTAGAAACACTGGGCTTGGGACTTCCCCGGTGGTCCAGTGGTTAAGACTCTGCACTCCCAATGCAGGGGGCCCAGGTTCAGTCCCTGGCTGGGGAACTCAGATCGTGCATGCCGCATGGTGCAGCCAAAAACCAACAGAAACACCAGCCTGGCTTTCAGTCCTGCTCATTACTGGCCACTGCTCCTTCATTCAAAAATATTGATTGCTGCCTGCTACATACACAGTGTTAAAGAAGACAGAAAAGGCCCCTGTTCGCCAGACAGTGAATTAAGTCTTCCTGTGGCTGATGGAATTCTAAAGCCAATAAGTAACAGTTGACCAAGATAAAGTCAGCTCATGGCGAGAAGCTGAAAATCAGTGCAGCCGGGGCTGTGAGGCGGCGAGGCCGGGGTACTGGGCTGACCCCAGGCGTGAGCTGTGAGGGGTGTGACGGGGCCCGTGATTCCGAGCGACTCCTCTGGATTGTAAGAGGGCAAGGGTGGGAGCAGCGGGCCAGGGGGCTGTGGTCCAGGCGAGAGATGGCCACCCAGAGAAGAGGACGTGGGGATGTAGACAACGTGTGAGGGGGGTCAGAGGCAGGCCCGCGGGATCGAGGGTGGCCTGCGTGGGGGCTGAGCGCCTGTGCAGATGGGGCGCTTACCAGGGAGGAGGGGGCTGTGGGTGGGCGTGTCCAGAGACACCACCAGGAGCACAGTCAGCCCAGAAGACCCCATGATCGTCTTTAAAGCTCAGAGCTCAGGAGGAACCAACAGAAGACCACCTGGCCTTCTCCAGGTGCATTCCAAAAACTTGTAAGTTTCTGCACTTCTTTTGGCTTGTCAACCTTCTCAGGTTTGAATTGTCCTTAGGTCTCCAAGGATATGCCGGCTTTCGACCCGGGAGGAGACCTGTGCCTAGCAGGTGGTGTCCCTGGCACGAGGTGGCCCCTAGCCTTGGGGACTGGGGGGGCTCTGGGCCGTTGGGCTCCCGGTGCGTGCCTGGCATGGCGCTCTTTACCTCGGCTTGGGTGTGAGGAGAGCCTGACCTGCTGTGCAAAGCCCCCGGACCTGCGTGGTGCGGCCTCGGCCAAGGAGCAGTGAGGGGTTTGGACGCTGCACCGGGCTGTCCTGGAGGCCGGTGGTGGTTAGGCCGAGTGGCGCCGTACTTCTCCTGAGAAGGACCGAGAGAGCTGTGAGGCCTGACTCGGGTCGGCAGGGGGAGGGAGGGTCAGCTCGGAGCTGGTCCCTGGCCCAGCTCTCCTCCACAGAGACCCAGGTGCGGGGTGCCCCACCAGCCACTCGTCCGCCCAGGCTCCCTGAAAGAGCAGCCTGCGGCGACCCAGGCCCCGGGACCTGGTGGATGGGGTGCCTGAACATGCGTCAGGGTTCAGTTTAGGGGCCTGTATTTACTGTTTCTCATTTGCTTATGTGTGTTTATATTCAAGATAAGGGTTGCTTTTAGGGAGGGAGAGGATGGAATTGGGGGTGTATGTAGAGTGGTGATGATTTATAAAAGAGACATTGAAACAACGTGGCAAAATACTAGGTAATGAAAAACTGGATATTTATTACATTGTTCTTTATACTACTGTTATATTTAAAATATTTTATCATAATGGCCAAAAGGGTTTTCTTCAATCGCCAAGTCTTTGACCGTGGTGGACGACCAGGGTCTGCGAAGACTGCAGACGGGTCTGGAGTGGCACCTGTCCTGGTTCCTGACCACAGGGGCTCAGACACGGGCTGTGCACGGAGTGTCCATGGGTCGTCCCCTGCCCCCCGCTCAGCAGTGCCCACGATTGCTTTCCTAGGGCACAGTCACCAGCACCACCACCTGCATCCAGCTGCACAAAAAAGCTGAGAGAGTGGCCGCTGCTCTGATGGAGAAGGCCAGGCTCACCACCGGGGCCCACGTGGCCCTGGTCTACCCCCCAGGTAAGGACCTGCCGGCCTGCCCTCTGCCCGTGCCCACCCTGCGCTCCCGTCACGCGTGCCTCCACCCCTGTGAGCACTTGTATGTAATTGAGTCCACTCTTGCCTGTCCTAGTGCAGCCTTTCCTTTCTGTTTGCTTTCTTCATCTGGCTGTTCTTCCCGCATCTCTCCCCTCTGTTTTATTACTAGAAAGCAAACACCCTTGTAACCACCAACCAGGTCGAGAAATGGATCTTTGCTTTTCCCGTCCCAACCACCTCCTCCATTCTCCAAAAGTAGCCTCTGTCCTGACCTCTGTGGTCACCATTTCTTCCGTTTCTCCATAGTTTGATCACCCAGATGAGCGTCCTAGTCATCACAGTTTAGTCTGCCGATTTTCTTTAAATCTGATATATTTTTAAGTCTCCTTTAACCTGCAGGCTGCCCTCTGTCCATCTCTTCTGTGGCCCTGGAGTGTCCCCGCCGTCTGGAGTGGCTCCGTGTGTGCCGCCGGGGCGGCTGCTCCTGGGCTCCCACAGGGAACCCCGGTCAGACTCCCGCGCAAGACCCTAAGGCTGTTTCTTCCTTTTGCAGAATTAGCCGCTAGCAGCCATTGACCTTCTCTGTCCCGCGTTCATTAACGCTTTAAGGGCCACTAAATGGTGCTGTTCTAGCTCTGCCCTTTCTTTTTCACTTATCAGCCAGAAACTATAAACAGACACTTGCCCTCGTTAGTATCTGGTCACCCAGTGGTAGAATTCAGCTGTGAAAGGTAGAGTAAGTGTTGCTTCTTTCCTTCTATCAATGAAGTGAATTCTGTTTCTTGGCGCACCCTAGTGGGAGCTTGCTCCCACGTCCTCGGGTGTGACCTCCCACCCTAATGCCTCCTGCTGTCTGCTGGGACCAGGTGCCCCGGCCAGTTCTCCGTGGAGCCTGGTGTTCACAGCACCAGCCTGGGCCAGGGGCTCGTCCCTCCTGGGCCGGCCGCTGGCCGTTGGCCCTTTCCTTGAACAGAGCTCTGATTTAAAATGAGTATAATAATTATATCTTGGAGACAGGCAGTGCCTCATGAGTTCATACTGCTGCACCCGATCAGATTCAGGGTTACAGGCTTTTACTGAACCCTTCTTGACGTTCCGTCTGCTTTACGCCTGTGTCTCCCTTCTTCCCTACTGAGAATCCTGATTCTCCAGGATGGGAGCCGATAGAATTCAAATATCCCAAGATCACTCACTTGCTTTATCCTGTGTCACAAGCAGCACCTCCAAAATAACGGTAGTAATACGTGACCACCTGTGTGATTTTTGAAAGCAGCTTAAATATTTTCACACGTGCTTTCTCCACCCGTTTTCCCTGTAGCTGTGCTCTCTGTGTCACCGGGGCGGGTGGGGCTGGGGGCCCGCAAAGCCGGCCTCTCCTCACCCTCAGTCCCGGTGACTGCGTTCAGTCTCTTTCTGCCACGCTGGTTCTCTAATTGGTTTCTCAGGAAGGGTTCATGGGAACAGTATCCCCTGAGTTCTTGCTTGTTGGTAACAGTCTGTACACTTCGTAATGAAAGTTGTTTTTGCTAGATAAAAAAATCCCTGACTCACATTTTCTTTTCTTGAGCCTCTCAAATATGTGTCCATTTTCTCCTGGCCTTAAGCATCAAGTCTGACGATAATCTAATTTTCTTCCTCTTATGAGTCACTGGCCTTTTTGCTCTAGGTGCCAAAAGGACATTTTTTTTCCCTCCTTAAAGTCCGGCATATGGTTGTAACATTGATTATCACAGGGCAGCATCCTCTTACCTAAGGTATCTTTGGAAGGCAGCTACGCTCACCACTACACCATCAATGCCGTACAAGGCATAAGGTATCTTTAAATAAGAAGATGCAAATCTTTTCTTTCTTTTTTTTTTTTTTTAATTTCAAGGAAGTTTTCTAGAACCGTAGTCTTTTCTCTGTCCCTTCCCTTGCTTTGATTTTCTTCGCATCTCCTGACTGCTCCCGTGGCCCACGTGTTAGGTCTTCTCTGTCGTTTTCCCCAGGAGTGTCTCCGTTGAGTTTCCAGTCTCGTCCTCTTCGTGGTTTCTGTGTCCATTGTCTTGTTTGCTCTTGGGCTCCTTCTAGTTCCATCTTCGTTTCTGAAATGATTTTTTATAATTTCTACTTCTTTCCTCATTTCTTTTTTCTAGTTCTGATTTCTGTTATTCTTTCATATCTTGCATCATTTTCTTAATGCATTTTAGCACATGTTAAAATGGGCTGCAGTTCTTATCTGCTGACTTTGTCTGGACAGATGACGATCTGCCCCTGATTCTTTTCCTTGTACCTTGGGTGGGACTTGGCCCCCGGGCCATCCGCACGGACCCCCCACCCCTCCCGTCTCCTCCTGCGCCCCGCACCCTGAGCCCCGAGCCCCACTCCGTGGGCCTCTCTGTGTTGGGCTGGATTGCTGGCCCCAAACCCTCATGGCTGCTCACTGGCGCCGGTGAGTGGGTGAACGGTTTCCGCCCCTCGCCCTGCTCTCTGATCAGACCCACAGTTGTGGGAACAAGATGCCTGCGCCTCCCCAGTCGGGACATCTGGGCCTCCTGGGGGCTCCCAGCCCTCCCGGCTCCCTCCGGTGCCACCTGGCTCCTGTGGAATCCCCTCACTCTGCCCAGTGCGGCCCCTATAGCCCGTCTTCCCCGTCGGCGCCGTCTCACCTGCTCGGCGCCTGCTCTGCCTCTCCTGCCTTGTCTTGGGGTCCTGGCTCTGGGAGTTTGCTGCTTGGCTGTTAGGGGATGCTTTTCTCCTGCGTCTGGCACACGGGTGGTGGCACTTGGAAGACCTTTCCCTTTCCCTTTCCTGGGCGGCCTGGGCCTTCGCTGGAACAGGAATCACAGGTTTCTCTGGCGTGGCAGGTGCTTCCCCAGGGTTGTAGGTGATTTTCTTTTTTCCACCCTTTATAAGTCTGTTGTTGTTTTGCCTGGAAGCTTGTTGGTTCTAGTTCAGGAATTTTACTGGGAAACGCCTGGGTCTAGGTCCTCTCTCACTTTCCTGCCCACTTAATCTTCATCTCAGGAAACTGTTCTTTTTCATTACTGCCTTTTCTCCCTCTTTTTCATGCTTCTGGAACTCCTGACTCAGGTTTTGGGTACCGTCTCTTTTCAGTGTGTCTGGCAGGACACGACTTGTGCTGGGCACTTTCTCTCTGCTTGTGGGATCTAGGGTCCTCTTCCCAGGGCGCTGCCGTGGAGGGCTCCCTGCCCGGCAGCCAGGGCGAGCTGGCAGCCCGGCCTGTTTCTGGACGTGGACGCGTGGCGGCTCGGACACCTCGGGCTCCCACTGGCGTTACAGTTACGCTGCTCTTCCCGGTCCCGGGAACGTGCGGTCATTTCTCTCCAGGACTGTTTGCAGCTCCCACTCTTCTCGTCTCCCTGGCCTCAGTGTGAGGCAGACATCTCCCCGGCCGAGATGAGGCCAGGGACACAGCCGCTCGGGAGCCCCGGCCATCACCGTCCACAACCGGCGGAGAGCCTGGGAGGACCACGGCCATGCAGGGGCTCCGGGCTGCAGCTGCAGGCGTGCAGCGTGAGGACATGTTGGGGGTGAGGGATGCTGAAGTAACAGGAGAATAGGAGAAAAGACGGAAGGAGGCCCGACGCCTGTCTCTCTTTGGGGCATGTTTGACACTGTTTATAAAAAATTTTTAGTGAATAAAGGAAAATGCTTGTTGAAGTCCTGAATTTACAACCTTACCAGCAGGTGGAGAGTATAATGAATAGCTGGAGGGCAGATCCCACCCTGCTTGAAGTTTTGCAGATGGACACCGGTGTGTGTGCGTGCGTGTGTGTGTGTGTGTGTGCACGTGTGTGTGTGTGTGTGTGTTGCGCGTGCGCACGTGTTGTGCATTTCCTGATTTACTGCGAGGGGCCAGGACTTTCTCCTTACAGGGGTGTGTGGCCCTGGGGTGACTCTCTGGGAGCTGCAGGTGGGGTGCGGGCAGGGACAGGGCTGCCCCGCATGTGCGCCTGGTGATGCCAGGACAAGAGGAGGTGCACACGCAGGGACGGCAGGAGCTGCATGAGCGCGTGGAAGTGAGTTGCTGAGGGTGCTTTCTTGTGTTCAGTTTGGTGACACCTCTGTGGCGCGTGGGGCAGAGTGGCCCTGCTGGGTGTGAGGATGCTCACACGCGTGTTGAGCTGCCTGCTGGCTCTGTCTCCTGAGCTGCCCGCACGCACAGCGCAGATGGGTGGTCCCTGGTGGGTGGGCTCAGGCCCGTAAAGATGACCGTGCTGAGTACCCCTGGCCCTGATGGAGCATCGTGAACTTGTAATCTGGTGAAACCCGTGAGCTGGGTTAAACGTTGTGTATTTATTTTGACCCTGGAATCAAAACAGCCTGAGACTGGTGTCTGGTAGCCAGATGTTGTCAGGCAGTGCCTTGTGTGATTTGAGGACAACATCTGGAGGAGTCTCCAGGGTGTGGGACTCAGGTGTCCTCAAGTCGGACTGAGTTCAAGAGGGGAAGATGGATTTTAAGTGTGGTACAGTTCCCCCCGAACTTGAAACACATGAAAGAGTTGAAGGAGCAGCCAGTGGTCCCCCGTTGTGGCGCGGGGTTGAGAGCGGGGCAGGGACATCCTGGCCCATCCCCAGGGGTGTGGGCCTCCCTGGAGAAGCGGCCAGGCCCCCCATGTCAGGGCGCAGATGCACGCGAGAGGTGCAGGGCTTCCGGGGTGGGCAGCTCGCCCACCCGCCCTCCATGGCCTCCTCTGGGCCGTGATTGCGCCCCCCCCACCTCCTGGCCTCCCCGTGTCTGGGCGGGGGGTGACCTGCAGCGGGGTAGCTCTCTGTCCCTCCGTAACAGCGCTGTTCGGTGCACACCGTTAGTGTGGAGGAGGGTGGTTTTATTCAAGCACAGCAGGTGAGGCCCCTGGTCTTTCTCGTGGATCCATGGCCCTGGACATGGAGAGCAGCCTTTGACCCGCTGACGCCCTCTGACCATGTGTCTCCCCAGGGGTGGACCTCATTGCCGCCTTCTATGGCTGCCTGTACTGCGGCTGCGTGCCCGTCACTGTGCGGCCCCCGCACCCCCAGAACCTCGCCACCACACTTCCCACCGTCAAGATGATTGTGGAGGTAGGCAGGCACCACGGCCGGCAGGGCGGACCTGACCGTGGGCCCGTGTGCAGTTCACTCCCAGGCGCCGAGTCTCACTTGTGCCTTCAACCCCTGTGCCCTGCAGGTCAGCAAGTCTGCGTGCGTACTCACGACACAGGCCATCACGCGGCTGCTCAAGTCCAAAGAAGCACTGGCCGCCGTGGACGTCAGGACCTGGCCGACCATTCTAGATACAGGTGCGCGTCCTCGCTGCGTTGGTGTGCTCGCTGGCCCCGCCAGGATCAGCCCCCTTTCCTTCCTTTGTTGTAGGGATTGCGTTGTCGCCACGTAAACATAAAGGTTGGCTAAGAGCAGCTTAGCAGCTTCAGTAAATGGTGAGAGGCTACTAACAGGAGGCTCGCCGGCTGGGTGCCTGACAGCCTATGTCCACCAGCTCGAGCCTAGAGCCGGGCGCGCAGAACGGAGGGCGGCTGGTGGGGAGCAGAGGTCCTTCCAAGGCCCGGCGCCTGTGGACAAGCTCCCCTTGCTGCCTTTCATGCCCACGCAGCGGTTGGCAGTTGCGGGGACATAGACGGTGCCCACAGCACACACACACCCGTCCTGGGTCCCCATCATGGGTGTGTGCTCCCGCGCCCCAGGAAATGCTTGTGGGCCCCCTCTGCCTTGGCCTGTTGGGTCAACCATCAAGACACCCCAAACCAGCAGCACCCTGCAGGCTCCATCGATAACTCGAGGCGCACGGCCACATGGGTGCCAGCCGGCAAGCAGAGAGGGGTCCCTCCTTCCCCATCGCACCTGGTGGGTATAGGTGCCTGTCCTTGCCCACCAGGGCACTGCCCATGAGAGGAAGTCAGGGACCGTGTTGTCAGTGGCCACCTGCCTGATACCAGCAACAGGCACGGGGAGCTGGTCCAGGGCGGCTGGCAGGGCGCCCAGGGGTGGGCCCCGGAGCAGATGGGCTCCGGGGAGTCCCCTCACCTCACCCGCTCCCTGCCCTTGCCTCGCCTGCGCCCAACTGTGCGTGGTCAGTGCTGTGCCCATCTCATGGTCCTGAAGGAATGCGGTGAAGCACCCAGAGCCCTGGGGGCCCATCCTTAGCACTCACTGTGCACAGAGATGTCGGTAATCCTGGCTCCATCACAGGCTCTGGGACCCTGGCCAAGTCCCCGCTCCTCTGAGCTTTCCTGTGGGGCTCTCTCGGCCCATCTCCAGCCCTCTGTGTCCACCTCGTCCCCTGTCCCCATCCCCACATGCTCGGCATGGTCGCGAGGGTCCGTTCCACGTGACCTTCCCTGCGTGCACACGCGGCCTGCTCTCCCGCAGCCTGACTTCTGCTCTGAGCTCCCCAGCTCCCCAGGTGCGTCCTGTCTCCTCTCTCCCCACGAGAACCTGAGCTAGCATCCACGCCACCCATGTCTCCTGACCGACAGATGACATACCCAAGAAGAAGGTGGCCAGCATCTTCAGGCCCCCGTCCCCAGACGTGCTCGCATACTTGGACTTCAGCGTGTCGACCACGGGGATCCTGGCGGGTGTGAAGGTGGGTCCTCTGGCTGGAGCTCCCCTCCACTCCGGCCCCTGACACAGTGGGCGGGCAAAGGGCAGAAGGGTGTTGGCTGCAGGTCTGTGCAGGCCCTTCCTCCTCCCAGAGCTTAAAGCAGCAGTTTTGCTCCTTAAAGTTTGTGTTAAATACCAATATACCCCAGGATTAGGTTAGCCTGAGAGTGACGCGTATTTTAGTGTTTTATGGTAATGTCTAAACTTTCTGATTCATGACTATCTGGCCTCGAGGACCAGGTGACTTGGATGAGTCTGTCACATTAGCAGGCACCAAACGCTCCACTAAAGTTCTCTATTACCCTGAACTTTCGCCTAGAAGATTCCTAGTGTGCCATACCTGGGTACTGATTGGTGTATGTGGGATTGGGGCCAGCCACCCTTTCAGGAAGTGAAGGTGTCCGGCTGCTGTGGGCAGCAGGCACTACCGTCAGCCCTCCCTCTTCCCTCACATCACTGAGCAGAGCTTTCCTTTCACTCCTTAAGATGTCGCACGCAGCCACCAGCGCCCTGTGCCGCTCCATCAAGCTGCAGTGTGAGCTGTACCCCTCCAGGCAGATCGCCATCTGCCTCGACCCCTACTGTGGCCTCGGCTTTGCCCTGTGGTGTCTGTGCAGGTGAGTGGAGGGTGGGTGTGCGGGTAGAATCCCCCCACTCCTTACCCCACCCCCAGCTGAATTTCTTCTTCAGACGCCCCCTTTCTAAGGTGCATTTTTGACGCCCACCAAGCAGAGGATACATGTGTGAGTGGGTTGGTTTGTGTGGGTGTTTGGTGGGTTGGAGTTCGGGTCTGAAATTGAGTAAAAGAGTAAAAATGCCTTTTTATTAAGTGCACACTCTCCGTTACTACTAATTCCATCCAGAACAGGGAAGTAGGAACCCATCTTTGTAAGCAGAACCCCGTCCTTGCCGGCTGGCCCATCCCTGACAGCGACCCTGGATCCTTGAGTGCTGGTGGCGGGACCTGCGCCCCCAAGTTTTCTACTGAAAGCCCCACTCGGCCAGAGCAGAAAGGGTGGGCTCTGCCGGGAAGGACAGTGTCCTTGAGGGGAGAGGCGCCTGCACAAGTGCTGACCCCGCCCCTGTTGCTGTCGCAGTGTCTACTCGGGACACCAGTCGGTGCTGGTGCCCCCGCCCGAGCTGGAGACCAACGTGTCCCTGTGGCTGTGGGCTGTCAGCCAGTACAAGGCCCGTGTCACCTTCTGCTCCTACTCGGTGATGGAGATGTGCGCCCGGGGCCTGGGCGCGCAGACAGCGGTGCTCAGGGTGCGTGCCGTCCGGGCCTGGAGAGAGCCCCGGACCTCTCCCAGCAGCCGAAAACCCTCCCGGGGCGCCCCGCCCCCTGCTGTGAGCTCCCCCCCAACACCCCGACACACACCCATGGTGCACCTCCTGGGAGGAGAGGGGGGCGGGCGCAGGGCAGGGTGGGCCCGACCCCGGGTCCCCGAGGCCTCAGGGGCTGGAGCCGAGAGGGCGGAGCCGGGGAGACAGAACCAAGGAGGCGAGGCTCGAGCAGCTTGGCCTTTACGCTCAGACCCGGCGGTGTGCGCCCACTCCTCCCACAGATGAAGGGCGTGAACCTGTCGTGCGTGCGCACCTGCATGGTGGTGGCCGAGGAGCGGCCCAGGATCGCGCTCACACAGTCCTTCTCCAAGCTGTTCAGGGACCTGGGTCTGCCTGCACGCGCTGTGAGCACCACGTTTGGCTGCAGGGTCAACGTGGCCATCTGCCTCCAGGTAGGCGGCAGGGTTTCCCGCTGGGCGCCACGTGCACACGCTGTGCTTCTCCGTCGGCCGTGGGTACTTTCTGGTCCTCCCAGCCTTTGATGTTGCGTTTTCCAAATAGCACGTTAGCTTTGAGAGCTGAGCATTTTACTTTAAAAGAGATTCTGTTCTTGATGAACAAAGACTTATTTGGAAAAATCAAAATGTTTTTGACCAGTGACTATTATCTGGAAGAATTTCTAAGTTGGATATGGTATGCAATTAATATTCTAAAGCAAGAATAACCTAATTGTTTTTTAAGACATCTAGCAATTTTAAGTGGAAACATTAACGAGTGTGATAATTTATATTGCCCAGAATTCCTTTTTGGAACATTAAGATATTTTACTTATTAAAAGGAAACGAAGTTTCAGAACAGCTCACTCCAGTGCAGCGCTGTTTACTGCTGCTGAATGCAGGGGACTCTGCCTGTTCTCCAGACTCCTACTGGTACCTCAGTCCCACTTCTTTCTAAACCACGTTGCATGCCTCACGCACCCACGTTCAGGAGTTGTTGGGAGGAAAGGCCTCAGGGGAACCACAGTTCCTCATGCCCAAGCCCGTACTGGCCGGTGCCTGCCAGACACAGGGAGGGTCTCGACTGCGGAGGCGGCATCCTGTTGTCCTGGTGTTCCTGCGACAGCCTCTCCACAATGGAGACGGCTGACCATCTCGCTCGGACCCTTGCTGAGTGGCAGGAGGAGCGGGGTGGTCCTTCGTGAGGTCCTCCTGTTGTAGACAGTGCGACTGCACCTCGGCTGCTGGCGCAGGGTCGGTGGCTGTCAGCGCAGCCCTTCTGCCTGCTCAACGTCTGGCAGCCCGGCCCCTCCTTCCTGGAAACGCGATGGCATCTGTGTTGCTTATCAGCACGTGGGCAGCAGAAGTCTTGCTGGGACATTCTGGGTTTGCACTTTGAGATGCAGTGACGCACTTTGCTCTCTCTCAACTGTGTTTCTCACGTGCCTGTGCTCTCTGTGTTTCCTGTGGCTTCTCCTCCCTGTCTCCCTCTGCTGGCCTCCTTTGTCCGCCCAACTGGCTGGGAAAGCTGGCTGAGCAGGTACAACTTTGACCTCGCCCTCGAGGTGCGTCTGTGCTTCCCATGCGTTCACGTGGCCTCTCGTGAACTCCAGACAAATACGTGTTTCTTCTGCTCACAGTGGACGTTATTTGACATGTTACAAAAGCTCCTTTGTAACTGAATTTAAGACAAAAAGTATTTTCAGAAGCATTTAACCTTCATTTTAATCAATTGCCTCTGGAGGAAAGGCTGTGTTTAGTCTCAATGAAAAAATTTCCATTTTCATTCCAGGGCAGACATAGGTCGCTTTGGGATCTTCAGAGAATGATGCTGGGGCGGAGTGTCCGTGTAACTTGATGTTCCTTATCTAATGAAAAGGAACGTGCTGTCCTGTAACCAGGGCCAACGTCAGCTGTCAGATGAGAGGAGAGAGAGTGAGGACGTCATTCTGGCAAATCCCTGGTGGGGCTTCGCTGTGCTCAGTCCTCAGGAGAATTAGGTCGGAGCGAGCATGGCTCAGTGAAAATGCCTCAAAACCCATAGCAGTGTTTTCTTAGAGACCAGCGGGAATAGAGCTATCAGGACTGAAATGTGAAACTGTTTGACTTGACATCTTCCTTCAGTGTTACTGGAGGTTTCCCTCGATGGTACCAAGCCTTGTAGATGTTTGCAGGAAGGCAGACTCTTGCTGGGAGCAGAGCAGCTGCCCTCCCGGCCCCACCCCACCCCCAGGGCCGGAGGAGCTGTCCCCCAGCTGCACCCGTGTGGAGGCGATGCCCCTGGAAACCACGGTGTGAGGCCCGAGTGGACGTACCTCTGCTGCTCCCCTTGCAGGGCACGGCCGGCCCGGACCCCACGACCGTCTACGTGGACATGAGGGCACTGCGCCATGACAGGTAACAGCACCCAGGCCCCCGGGCAGCCTGGGCCTCCCCTGCATCCCTGTCCTCCCTTGATCAGTCATTCCCACGACCAGGAAGGGAATGACCTTCCAAGAGTGACCGAGCATTTGACACGTGGCTTTTTATGGGGTAGAAAACAAGTAAGCCCATCGTTGGGCAGGACAGAGGCATCACGTCAGCAGGCATGTCCCGGGGGCCATGGTGTGTACCTGCGGGTCGGGGTCCCTCCCAGCTTTGGAGCCGGATCCCAGTTCTGGATCCTCAAATGCAGCTTGAGGTAAACCATGGTGGAGCTTCCCGGGGGGCGAGGCCAGCTGGCCAGGGGCCCCCCGAGGACATAGAGCCAGCTTCTGCCCTGATCAGTGCTTGGTGCGCCACGCACCCGAAGTCACTGCTCCAAGGTCACAGCAAGGTCCTGATCAAAAGGCTAAATGTTGTCAACGGACTGGCTGTCGCAGTGATAATCAGTTTCTGACTACCTTGTGAATTGCCTTTTTAGAGATTGTTGTCTGTGTAGTAAGTTTTATTCTGAAATTTTTCCCTTGTTAATTTTTAGGGTACGTTTGGTGGAACGGGGTTCTCCGCACAGTCTGCCATTGACAGAGTCTGGAAAGGTAGTGCAGGGGACTGGGCCTCCACGCTTGCATCGTCCCTGGGAGGTGCTCGCCATGAGCACAGACCCCTGTGGTTGGGCTGGGCTGGGCTGACGTAGAGGCCTCTCCTCGCTGCAAACACACACACACACCACACACACACACCACACACCACACACCACACACACACATACATACACACCACACACACACCACACACACATACACATACATACACACACACACACCCCACACACACACCACACACACACACCACACACCACACACACATACCACACACCACACACATACACACACATACATACACACCCCCCACACACACCACACACACACACACCACACACCACACACATACACACACACACACCACACACACACACACACACACACACACACACTTGCTAAGTCTTTACGTCTACATCTGAGCTCCAGTTCCCAAAAGGGAGGACCTCAGGTGCAGAGATCTAGAAGGAACTACACTGCTGGGTCTTGAGGCCACGGGGCGCCTGTTGCCTTCATGGCGGCCCTGGAGCAGCGCGCTGGGGCCTGGAAGAACTCAGCCCGTGGCCCAGGTGACAGCCAGGAAGTGGTCCCCACCACAGTGGCAGTTTACCATTAAAGCAGTCCAGGCCTGGTGCAATCTCAGGGGCCCAGAGTGGGCTCAGGTGGTAGGGCTGTGAGACCACCTGAGGGCACCCAGGGAAAAACTTTGAGCCACCGTGAGGGGTCAGCAGACATAGAGCCAGGAGAACAGGCGTTCTCAGAAGCAGGGGAGGTTCAGAGGAAGGAAGAAGGCCCCCAGGAACTGTCAGACAATGTGATGGTGGGGGGAAGGCCTGCGCCCCGGCCCCGGCCTCGGGCCTCCCTCTGCAGCTGCACAACCAGAGGAGGGCTCGGCACAGCCCCTGCTCTGCTCGCACTTGCCCGAGTGCACGCCACAGCTGTCCCCAGGGAGACGGGGAGGTGCCCGTGGGCAGCAGCGCAGGACGAGCCCGCGGTGAATGTGAGGGAGGAGCAGGTGGGGGCTGTGCACCAGCAGGGGCCGCCCCAGAGGAGGAGCAGAGACCTGGGGAGAAGGCTCAGCTGGCGTAAAGGTCCTGGGGCCACGGGGAGGCCTGCGTGCGGGAACTGCACTGGGGGGAGGGGAGGAGGAGAGAAGGGCGCTCTCGTGGGCAGGTGGGCGTGGGGCCTGGGAAGGAAGGCACAGACCCTGGAGGAGGGGAGTGTGGACACAGGCCAGGGCTCCCTTCCTGTCCTTCCCACGTGCACAGAAACGCCCTGTGTGCAGTCCGTGTTGTCCTTTCTGCAAACGCAATTCTTAATTCTTTCTGGTGCCTTTTTGTTTCCTATCACACATGGCTCTGCATCCGTTTTCGATGGACTTTCCCCCCATATTTCTCTGTTATGATAAATTGGCGCTGACAGACCTGGGTCCTGGAAAGACCTCTGGCTTCAGGGTTTGGGTGGGTGGGTGGGCCACACGGGGCGGGGTCAGAGGGTCAGCAGCATCTGGGGAAACAGAACGACCCCACCAGGGCTGTAGGGGCAGCACGAGGAGAGGAGGGTCTGGCGCCGGCCACGGCGACCTCCTGTGACCCCTCGTCCCTTCCTCCACTGCCTGCAGGTCTCCACTGTCATCTCCCGTTTTATACCTGGGGAACTGAGGACACAGAACAGGTGTCCAGGAGCAGCCAGGTGGTCTGACTGGAGCCCAGTGAGGCCCCGCAGGCCCAGCGGGGGTCCTGGACCCGGGGCACACTCCCCTGGAGGGCCCAGAACCCGTGCTCAGCAGCTGCTCCCCTCTGAGTCTGGGGGCAGGAAGGCCTCTTGGGGGCCAGGTTTCCATCCAGAGCCGGGGGCTCAGGGGGGCCGGGGTGAGGGGGGGACGCAGCCGAGGCATTTGGACCCCCGGCACTCGTGAGCTCTCACAAGGGGCCTCAGGGAAGGGCCCCCTCGACCCCTCTTGCCGTCCAAAATAGGGTCCATTCTCAGGAACTGGATGATTTTGCTAAGATTCAGAATTTATTTTTCTCTATTAAAATCTCTCCTGTTAAAATTCAAAGTCAGATTTAGGTTGGCTTCTGAACCTGATCACCCCCGTGTACGTGTCACATCCTTTGGATCAGCTTCGAAGGACGTTGTTTTGACGCACTTGAGTCAGGAGGGCCGTGCTGCCTCTGACCCGGAGCACGGTTCTCCTTGCAGATCCTCCCTGGAGTGAAGGTCATCATTGCCCACAGCGAGACCAGAGGGCCCCTTGGAGACTCGCACCTGGGCGAGGTGAGGCTGCGGGGCCCCAGTGCCCCGGACCTGCTCTTCACCCTCCTCCCCGTTCTGCCCCGGATTTGGGAGTTCTGAACCTTTGGGGTCGCACGTGCTTTGGGGAACCTGTCCCCACAGTGCTTGTGCTCCTGGACCCAGCCCCTGGGTAGGATTTCAGGGTCCTGCCCTTGGGATGAAGCCCCCCACCCTGTTACCCCACTAGCAGAGGGAAACCTTGAGTTGCAGGCACTGGGTGGCTTAAGGAGCCTCGCAGGAGCCAGCAGCCATGGAGGAAACAGCTGTCCCTTGAAGAGAAGTTCCTGCAGCCCCCAGTGAGGGACAGCACGGGGCAGACCCCATAGCTAAGAGGGATGGTCTTCTCCATCCTGGGGACACGGGGCAGGGGGTTCCTCACTGCCCCAGGACACAGGTTGTGCTGGGGTCCTTGTTATGCCTGCGTACAGCACCTGGTCTAGAGTAACGGGACAGGTGGGACCCAGTACCTGGTGGCCAGGATGGCAGGTGGAGCCTGGGTGCCCAGGCTGGTCTGTTTCGGTGGGAATGGTCTCAGCTCCCAGTTCCGGGCCTGGGGGCCAGCATCCTGCACTGCTGAGGGCAGCACCCACGGATGTCCACACACACTGCCTGGCCCCTGACCAGCTGGGACAAGGGCATGGGTGGGCCTGGGGCTCATGCCGCATCGGCCAGGAAAGGTGTCCCAGTCCCAGGGCTGGGTGTGCTCTGCCTGGGGCCTCGCCCCAACCCTACCCCCTTCCTGGCCAGCTGGGCCCAGGCCTGTTAGGGCAGGAGTGGGTCCCAAGACAGTCCTGGCAGGTCTGCCCCAGGCCGGGACCCATGTGGCCACACTGTCTCCTCTTTCGGACCCTGCTTTTGGGGGATACCTAGAGCCTGGTAGTCAGTCGGGAGCCGCCTGTGGGTCCTGGAGGGCCCTGGCTTTAGAAGGGTGCCCTGGGGGCCCGTGACGCTCTGGGCACCGTTAGCCCACGTGCGGGCGGGTCTGCGCCCCGACTCTCGCTGGCCCTGTGTGCGTGTGCACGTGCAGGTTGCTCCCGGTACATCGCTGTCCCACAGGCGTGTCTCCGGGTTCCAAGGAGGGGAACGGTTCGTTTGAAGGAGGACAGTCACTTGCCTGCTTTCCGTGCCTGTTGTTGTAACTTAGTTCGAGTGCCCCGTCCCCACCCCCGTGTGCTGTGGTGTTGCTGCCGTGAATCGGCACAGACTGTGCCGGGCACCGTGGCGACTGACCCCCTCGTCCCCTGGGCCCCCAGGTCTGGGTGAGTAGCCCGCACAGCGCCACTGGGTACTACACGGTCTACGGGGAGGAGGGGCTCCACGCCGACCACTTCAGTGCCCGGCTGAGTTTCGGAGACACCCAGACCGTTTGGGCAAGGACTGGCTTCCTGGGATTCCTCCGAAGGACAGAGCTCACCGACGCCAGTGGAGGTGAGGGGTCCCTGTGCAGCCCCACACCGGCACCTGAGCCCCATGCGGGTGGCATCTTGGGGGCCCCCGCTGACTCACCTCGCCCCTCGCTAGGAGCTCGTGTCTCTAGGTGCCCTGACACGGTTTTCTCTGAAAATTACTCTTTTTCCTTCACTGGTCTTGGACCCCAGCCTCTGTGGAGGATGTGGGGTTGCTGGCAGAGGCTGTGGGCCCCCCAGGCTTAGCCGTGGGCGCGTCTCACTAGCCATCTGTTGGGCCCTCCCCACACGGCCCCCCAAGCTTTCAAAGTCCCTTGGCCACAGCACGCTGGCCAGATGCCATCAGAACTTTTGGGAGCCCCTGTAGCTGCTGCTTCGTTTCCAGAGATAGCAAAAGTTATTGTTAAATACATATTCAGACATGGGCGTAACTTCTCTGAATCTCAGGGGGCCGAGCGTGGCAGGAGGCTGTTGTCAGGCAAGGTTTGAGTCGCCAGCCATTGGCACCGCGTGCCGTGCTGAGGTGGGCGAACTGTGCTGTCCACAGAGCGACACGATGCGCTGTACGTGGTGGGGTCTCTGGACGAGACGCTGGAGCTGAGGGGCATGCGCTATCACCCCGTCGACATCGAGACGTCAGTGATCCGGGCACACAGGAGCATCGCCGAGTGGTGAGGGCCTGGGGCGCCTGTCACCCAGCTCTCCGGGGTCAGGGCAGGCACTTCGGCCATGCCGGTGAGGCAGCCACCTGCCTCTCCAGGAGCAGACCCCAGACACGCTCTTGGGATCATGGGCTAGAGACCCCTTGTTTGGGTTTGCTTGGTTTTTCCTCTTCCTCATCAGTCTTAAGCGAAGAGTCTGTCCGCAAATGCACAGGCAGAACGTGAGAGCTCCATGGTTATCCTGAAACGCTTCTGCTTTTAACATGAACTTCCTAATTTAAATGGTTAAGACTCAGGATTTCTTCCCTTTCTAGGGAGCTTGCCTTGGGAAAGGTACAGCTTTCGACATCACATATTCTTGATTCTTAGTGAGAACTTTAATTAGAATAGATATTCCTGTAAAACACACTTAACTTGGCCTTTGAATTGTAACTGACCTTGAGCAGGAGGGTGACGTCAGTGAACCTACTTTGGTTTTTTCCACTGGTCTCTTTCTGATGCCCTTTCCCAGCCCCCAGAGCCTGTGCCTGACCCCGTGTGACACCGCCCGCCTTCTCCCTGCAGTGCCGTGTTCACCTGGACCAACCTGCTGGTGGTGGTGGTGGAGCTGGATGGACTGGAACAGGATGCACTGGACCTGGTGGCCCTGGTGACGAATGTGGTGCTGGAGGAGCATCACCTGGTGGTGGGCGTGGTGGTCATCGTGGACCCAGGTGTCATCCCCATCAACTCCCGCGGGGAGAAGCAGCGCATGCACCTGCGTGACGGCTTCCTGGCCGACCAGCTGGACCCCATCTACGTCGCCTACAACATGTGAGCACAGCTCACACCCCGGCCCTGAGAGGGGCCTCGGGGCGTGTCGGAGGTGCTAGGATGTGTGAGAACACGGCAGCATCTGCGGACCCCAGGCCCTGGGAGCACGGTGCCCCGCCTCCTACGCTCTTACAGGTCCATCTCATTTTTAAAAACCACTTCCTGAGTGATTCAAAGAAATCTTTTTATTATCAAGGACATTTACAGAAGCATGAATGTCAGTATTTTAACAGATGGGGTGACTGGGAAAGAGGCCTGGTGTGGGCGCTGCGGGAGCTGCAGGTGTGAGTCTGCACGTTTTTAGGCTGAAAATACAGTTCTCAATTTTAAAAATTCAAATGGTTTTTCTCACTTCAAATGACGAGTTCATATACAGAATGCATGCTGGGAGGGACCTGAGGCCCAAGTACAGCTGTTTCGACGCTGATTCACAGGAAAGCGTGGAGCCCAGAAAGGCTGGTGGACAGGAGTGAGCCTGGCCTGGCCGCCCTGCCCACCTTTGCGCCCCAGACCAGGCACTGGACGCACATGCTTCCTCTCTTGAAACAGGTGTGCACGGCTGTCTGCCTGTGTGGTCACTAACGCTCGACAGGGGCCATCTGGGGCCGTCAGGTGAGGTGCTCTGTTTCGGAAAGATAAACCAGCATTGAGTTTTAAACCACTTTCTAAGTTTCTGATTTCTTGCTCTTCAACTGAAGTGCTTGTTTTCATAACCACAGTAGAAGGTCTTCTCACTGCACGGAAGTGTACTGAATTATTATTTTTATTCCACGTCAACAGATGTGGAAGCCCCGGTGGGGTGAGGTTTCCGTCCTCGGTGATGTCTGCTGAGCACCGGCAGTGCAGCCGAGGGGCCCAGCCCAGGAGAGCCTTGCCCCTTGCTGTTGCGTTTTGAGTTGTGTGCCTGTAAGATTTGGCCAAATCATGTTCAGTTATTTTATTCTAACTTGACCAGACTGAGTGGTATATTATAGTAAGTCTAAATCAAAGAAGAAAACGTGATATCCTTTAGTTACTTCTAAGAATTGGAAGTGAAGCTCGAATCTAAGACAGAGTATTTTTGTATCACTAATGAAGAGTATGTTACCAGTTGTCGGGGACTGAGGGTGGGAAAGTTTATGAATCATGCATGCTTCCTAGAACAACCAGGCTTTTCTGGAATTCGCCTGGATCAGTGCCTAACAAAGTTGTTACTAATTCTCTACCACTTTACGTTCTCCACCAAAAAGGCCCAGCTCGCTGGGCCAGCTCTCACGTGTGGCTCGTATTCGGCTCCAAGTGGCTTGCGCTCGGTAGCTGTCGGCCTGCAGCATTGGCCCGCAGTGTGGTGTGTAACAACATACTGGAGTTTGAATAGTCCTCTTGTAATTGTGTACATAATCTGTGTAACTTATTGTTTGACATACAGAGGTCCTAGGAGTTGACTAATGGGCATTCCTTATAACAGAATGGCCAGCAGGGGAAGAACTACCCAGCCTTGTATGTTGTAGTTTTATAGCAAACAAATATTATAAAATTTTTGTATTGAAAGGTCGGTGGCAGTAAGACAAGATGTCTTGTAAATTAAGATTTTAAGAAGCATTAAAATGTTTTAAAATTACTCTCTGGGAATTCTGTATATCACACTAAAATTTTTATATCATTATGTTAATAAAGTTATTGACTGTTTGTAATTCTGCATTTTGAAATGTGTGAAAAGGTTTTTAAAATTACCCCAAATACGATGTATTTTATTATGCATTCTTCTTTCCTGGATATAAAAGCATTTATGCTACAGCATAAAATCTACAAAGCACATTAAAGTATAAAGAAGAAAATTTAAATCTCCCATAATCCTACCTCTCGGTGATGACAGCATTAGTATTTGATGTAAATCCTTTCAAGGATTTATTTTTTCCTTTAAAACGCTTTTACAAAATTAGGATCGATCATTATAATTTTATAATCAGCTTTTGTAGTTAATAAATTAGACTTTTAATCTGTTACATATATTCTTCTAAATGTTTTAATGACTGTGTCATATGGGAGGGGGGCTCGACTGCATGCAGCTTGTATTCACTTGCTCGGTGCCAGCGTCGTTTCAGCCGTGCTGCCGTGAACGTCCTCGCGGGTGTGTGTTCAGACGCAAAACCTGCCTTGGGCTCAGTTCCTACAGGTAGAGTTCGTGCCAGGTGTGAAGCTTTGGGCGCCCCTGCCCTCTCGGAAGCGCACAAGGCAGCGTGGGAGAAGCATTTTCCTGGCAGCCTGAGAGCACCAGCAATAAATAAATAAGTCCTTGTCAATTTGATAGTCAAATAAGGTCAAATAAGTATCATGTCTAGTGATGCTGAGTATGTTTTCACGTGTTTGTGGTCATTTTAATTTGTTTGATGCGTTCTATTTGGCAGGTTTTTTTTTTTAATTCTTTTTTAAAATTTATTTATTTGGCTGCGTTGGGTCTTAGTTGCGGCACGCGGGCTTCTCTCTAGTTGTGGCGCACAGGCTCCAGAGCACGCGGGCTCAGTAACTGTGCCGCGCGTGGCTCTCTAGTTGTGGTGCGGGCTCCAGAGCACGCGTGCTCAGTAGTTGCGGTGTGCAGGCTTAATTGCTCCGCGGCATGTGGGATCTTAGTTCCCCGACCAGGTATCGAACCTGCGTCCCCTGCATTGGAAGGCAGATTCTTAACCACCGGACCAAAAGGGAAGTCCCTCAAGGGTTTTTAAAAAATCTTTATTGGAGTATAATTGCTTCACAGTATCGTGTTAGTTTCTGTTGCACAACGAAGCGAATCAGCCATATGCATACACGTGTCCCCGTATCCCCTCCCTCTTGAGCCTCCTTCCCGTCCTCCCTATCCCGCCCGATAGGTCATCGCAAAGCACCGAGCCGATCTCCCTGTGCTGTGCTGCTGCTTCGCACCAGCCAACTGTTTACATTCGGTAGTGTATATATGTCAATGCTACTCTCACTTCGCCCCAGCTTCACCCTCCCACCCCATGTCCTCAAGTCCGTTCTCTACGTCTGCCTCTTTATTCCTGCCGTGCAACTAAGTTCATCAGTACCATTTTTTCTTATTCCATATATACGCATTAGCATACAGTATTTGTTTTTCTGACTTACTTCACTCTGTATGACAGACTCTAGGTCCATCCACCTCACTACAAATAACTCAGTTTTGTTTCTTTTTACGGCTGAGTAATATTCCATTGTATATATGTGCCACATCTTTTTTCCCGTGCCCCCTCTGGAATGGCTGCTCCAGCTCTATTTTATTTTTATTTTTTTAACATCTTTATTGGAGTATAATTGCTT